CGTCCATGGTTCCTAGCAAAGGTTGAGTGAATCCCTCCAGGCTATCTGTGCTCTCGCAAGCAATATACGTTTGTAAGGAGACCACATCTTGCAACCAAAGATCTTCTGGTCTATAGCGCTTGTCGAGAAAAAGAAAAGAAAAATCACAGCAATCTTGTCAACCACTGGACGCTACCAAAACCCATAGTTACCAACTGGTGGATTGCTCGGAAGTACATGACCCGCCCATCTTTATCCCCTTGCCTTCATGAATAATATAATGAAATATTGATTGATCGATTTCTATAAGTTATTCTTTACTAGACCTTCTTCTCCAGGCGTTAGTACTCTGATCCCAGATCACTCCGATTATCGTCCGGACTTTTTTGTTTATATTCCAATCATTTTTATGGTTAGTGGATTTAGTTATTAGACGTTTATTTTTTGACAAACATTGAAAATAATATATATATTTTTTTAATTTGGATTTGTATTTCTCACTTTGACCAACTACAACGTTCAACTTCTCACCCATATAATTTACAATAAATTATTCCTCCACTATTAAAAAAAAAAATAGAAGAGCGCGAAGTGAAATATCTATTTTTCTTATCTTTTTTTTTTAAACTACGACGTCGGAAGGGAGCTGAATATAAATATAAATGGAACTGGTAGGTCCAGACGGCACTCGAACCCCAGGCTAAAGTTAAATTGGAAGTAAGAAAAGAGGACGACAGATCAACAGGTACCAGTAGAGGTAGGGGTAGGAGCCAACAGGTAATTAGATCTCACCAGGGCTGGAACTGACCTCGAGTGCTTCCCCAATTAGACTTCTTGATAGCCTACGTATTGTGCTCTTTCCCCACCGCTCTTCTTCAACATCTTTTCCCCGGTTTCACGTCTCCCTCAAGAAAATCTATTTCTGGGAGTAATTTAGGCCGTTATATGAGCATCCGAGGATATATATATATTAATTTGGGTTAATTATTTTCAATAATAAATCTTTGTAATCGAAAAAGAAATAATATAAAATAACCCTTCTAAAATTTGAAATGAAAAGTATACCGTCCCAGATGGGGATCGAACACACAATGTTCAGAACTGGGCGATCATCAAGTCCTCACCTACATACCATACTTCTCAGAAAAGAAAACTGGCACAGGGCAAGTTCCATCAAACCGTCCCTAAACTCACAGAAGGAAACTATCGATGGAATTCGGTGCGATTGTTTATTCATCGATTTAACCATCAATAACTTTATAGGCGTTCAGTAGATAGGAAATTACATTATATATCATTATATATTTATTTTTGAAGTGAAAACTTCTTAAGGCGCGTTTGGTACTTTTTGTTGTTGATTTCTGGATTTTGGATGTCAGGTTTCCGATGTGTAACGTTCGGGTAAAGTCGGCTGGAGTTCACAAATTGAATTTTTGCTTATGGATTAAAATATGTCAAAAATTAAAATTCGGTTATGCAAGCGAAGGAATTGTTCATCATTTCATCCTTTCTGTAATGGGCTATTATTCAAAATGGTGTCTTGACACAACACCGTGTTAGAAAGGCTAAAAGAAAAAATAATGTCAAAAACCAAATGATAACGAGTTTTATAGAAGATAAGGATTAAAATATCTCTGAAACTAAATTATAATATTAAAACTATAATACCACTGGCTTTAGCAGCAGTGACGCGGTGGAGAGAGTAGCGCAGGGATCTCTTGGAGTTCTACCTTTCCTTCTATAGTTGGAGGGAGAAGCCTGGCTTGGGGTTTCGTGCCTGATTGTATATAGGTATGACTGTGTTTTTATATTTTTAATTTACTTATCTTTAGGTTATTTTATTTGTTATTGTACATAGTTTTTATTTTACTTTTGTTAATTTTATATTTTCTGTATATATGGTGTGACTGTGTTCATATATCACTATAATTATTGTCCACGTGACAGATTATTATATTTATAAATAAATAAAACAACTATAATATAAAAACCCGCATATTGTAAGCGAATGAAGAGTTCAGCATACTATCCTCTTTATAATTATTTATACTTTATATTTCATATTATTAATATCGCCTTGTTGATTTTTTCATTTCTATTGTGGGGTCTAAATTATACATCATAGTTTTTTTTTATTATTTCCCTGCTTTTTAGAGAAACAACCCAGTGTGTTATGATTTTCGCAATTTTTTAAATAAGTTTTGTAAACTTTTCGGAGTGTTAACCTCCCACTGGAATCCATCAGGTCGTTCTTAAACTCAGCCAAAACCGCTGCCCGACACTGCTCGATTCAATTAATTGATGGAATGCATCGATGAAATGAGCGCTGAATAATATCTAATCCAGCCCCCACATACGGTCATTCGCTGGAACAACAATGAAGTAGCCATTGCTGACCAAGAAGGTATTCCAGTCGGAAGGCCATAAATGTTGATACCAGTCCATAAGCCCTGATAACAAGATATACTGGATCCCTGTTTAGTGCGCTCATCCATCCAATTTGTCCCCATATATTTCAGTCTGTCCGCTAGGGTGCGTTCCCTTCGGGACATGTCCAGGGGCGTTACAGACTTATCTTCTGTACGGAAATTGAGAGAGATATGTTCAAGACTTGTGATTCGTTTCTACATTTTAAATATGATGTAATATCTATTATATTTCTGTCCTTGTAATATGACACATTTAAAAACAATAATAACGGTAATAATTATTATAAAATAGTTTATTATTTGCAGTTATATATCTAACACTATGCTTATCATGTAGAGAAAAATAAATAAAATGTGATTCCTAACAATTGGCAAGAATTTTTTTCGTCATTAATAATGAAAAGTGTGATTGTAGAATACGCAGGTTATCTCGCCTGATTGTATATAGGTATCCATGTGTTTTTGTTTAATTTTAAATTTCTTATTTTCAGGTTATTTTATTGTATTATTTATTGTATATACTTTTGATTATTATTTTGCTTCTATTTATTTTACATTTTTCGTACATATAGTGTGATTGTGATCTCAGAACACCATTAAAAATGTTCTTGAGGCAGATTGTAATATTTTTCAATAAGTAAGTTAAAAAAAAAAATAATGAAGTACTAAAAACTCATATATGCTATATAGATCCAGTGATCTTGAATAATAGCTCATTACAGAGAGGATGAAATGATGAATAATTCCCTCGCTCGCACAACCTAATTTTAGTTTTTGAGATATGTTAATCCATATGCAAAAACACTTCAATTAGTGAATTCCAGCCGACTTTACCCGAACGTTACACATCGGAAATCTGACTTCCAAAATACATAAATCAACAAAAAAAAGTGAAAAACGCGCCTGAAGGAGTTTTCATTTCAAAAATAAATAATTAATTTCCTAACAATTAGCCTGAATTTTTTTTTCATCATTAATAATGAAGTACTAAAACGCGTATATACCCATTTGCTTTTCACTTGAATCGGAAGATAATTTGATCACAAAATCGAAAAAAAAGTAGCTTACAAAATATCGGGCCTTTTAGGCTATATAATCTCGTTATTTTGACATGTCAGGGTGTAGGTCACGCCAAACGGCCTAATATTTTTTTAAGCCACATTTTTGTCTCGATTTCGTTATCAAATTATCTTACGATTCAAGTAGAAAGCAAATCGATGTTTATGAGTTTATGAGTACCTGATTAAATAGACTAAGTTTGCCGATCTCCAGATTGAAAACTCTACGATTCCGAGTATATTCGTAAATAAAAACGCTGCAAATTAACACAATGGTATATTATTTCCAAACAATTAACATTGCTTTCCATGCAGCAGTAAGGAAAATAAATAAAAAGGGATTCATAACATAGGCCTAAATAATTTTCTTTCTTATCATTGATAATTTGCTAAAACAAAATAGACCAAATTTTTGTTTTATGTAAAACTTTAAAAAAATAAAATAAATTTAAGCTTTGCAGTCGTACACATAAAAAAAATACTCAAAACACTATGTCTTTCTACCAAAATATCCGATTTCAACGATTTCTTTTTTGTTAATTTGAAAACTTTAAAATAGCCATACAACCACAAAAAGTTTATACTGCTTGAGTTATTCGGAAATCTTATTTTACCACTAGTGTTGCCCAAATCCGAGACCGAGACGAGACGAGTCTTGGTCTTGCAAACTCAGTTTAGTCATGGACTTGGTCTTGCGCAGTCTCACAACAGCCTTCTAGTTACTTATTAGTTTATTACTATATTACTGTAAGGAGAAACCTAAGCCCGAATGAAAAATTTAAAGTTAAATGCAAAAGTATATTGGTTATGCCAATTATTAACATAAAGTAACTAATATTGTCAGGTATTAGTAACTATTTTGCCTCGATTTTTTTTACCAGTCCTGATCTTGAAACCGTTGGCCTTGAAACAGTAGTACTTCCTCACATAGTACTGCACCCAAGACCCTTCATGGGTTGTAGTGGTACAGTTTTTTTTTTTTTTTTTCATTGAAGTACGTTACATAGATTAATTTAAAGTACGCCGAGGAAAAATACTTATCCAAGTTTCATTGAAATTGGAACATTCGTTTAGGCACTACAGTCTATACCGATACAGATTTGTCGGACATTTTGCAAGGAAAGGGCGGATAGTAACCTCGAGGTAGGAGGATCATTCTCGGGGTGATCTCTGACTTCGAATCCAAATTCTAAAAAAAAATTGGTCCAGTAGTCCCAGAGAAAAGTCGCGGACGGACAATTTTTTTAAATTCAATTTTCGGGTTCTATGTATCGTGCAACGTAAAACCTAAAAGTTTAAGTGGGGGGAAGGTTAAATTTTTAAATTTTGTTGACGATTACAACGGTTCATTATTGAAAATAATAAACGAAAAGTTGTAGGTTATGATGAGATGAAGCCATTCACGAGGTTTTTGCAGATGTCCATAATTTGATAAAAAGGGTTCTGTACCACGGACTATAAAGGATACTTGAATGTGGGAACATCCTTTTATACGCCTTAAATATCTAACCTTAAGGACCCCATCTATCCAAATATGAACCTCATCCTGATCCTTATTCCTGATGTTCCAGGATGGACCGAGAGGAATTCAGACGGCGTGGTAAGCAGATGGTGGACTACATCTGCGAGTACATCGGGACGATAGAGGAGAGACGGGTGACTCCGTCCATCGAGCCAGGCTACCTGCGACCCCTTCTTCCTTCGTCGGCGCCGGTTCAGCCTGAGCCCTGGGACGACATCATGTCCGACATCGAGAAGTACATCATGCCAGGAGTACGCATAAGAAATTACATACAGTAAAACCTCTGAATAACGGACTGTCATAGAAAATAGTTTTCTGTCCTTTAACGGGAGGGATATGATATATAATCTTTTAAATTTTATAAATATAAAAAAACGTAATTCTATACAGGGCAGGATCTTCCTAATTTTCCAGGATGTTCTATTTAGAATATAAATATGATATTTAAAGACTTTCTTTGATCGTTAGTGATGGATTATAGCTATAGTACAGCCATCGTCTTAACCAGTGTGTGTTAAGAGACATAAGAATAGGAATAGAGAGAAATAGAAAATATTTAAATTATATCTCTAAAACATATCAGAGAAAAAAATGTTTTAAAAACAAAAAGTTTTTGTGATAAAGTTCATGATAAAAATTTAATTTTTATTTATATTTTTTATGGATATAAAAAATTTATTTGCGCCTTTTAACAATCATCAAGTGTGTTGGAAATAGAAGATATAAAAGACATGTCAGGCATTGGGAAGGAAAGTACTCAGCAGCACTTCTTCTCTGACTTGTTTCAATTCCATAAGTTGTTTGAGGAAGGAGATCTCTTATCCAACGCTTTTTCAGTCTCCTCCTGATATTAGGTAGGGGGTCTGTCAGCTGTGGCCAGGCCTCTTATTAACGAAATGAAATGAAAACATATTTTATTATTCTGAGACTGTTGTCCCTTTAGAACAAATTATAAATAAAGATTGCATGTCTGAGAGGTCATAGGTAAATTATACAATTACAATAAGAGTTAATTTAAAATGAAAATATAGAAGAAAGAGAGAGAAAAATACAAGACACATAAATAAATTGAGGTAATCTCTAGTAGTAGGGGGTACTTAAATAGTTCTCTTAGGTATATTTCGTAATCAGAAGGATTGAGAAAGAAGTAAGTATTTAAAAAGGAGAAATTTGAAAGAGGAAACTGATTGTGCGTTTCTAATATCAGCAGGGATGGAATCAGAGGGAGGCGGATTAAATTGCAAAGGTTTTATCAAATGCAGAAGTTCTGTAGTGAGGAGAATAGAGGTCGGAAGAATGAGATCTAGTGGGGCGGGATTGGATGGAGTATTTAAATTGTAAGCTATGAAAAATATAGGAGGGTCGATGAGTTCTAATGATCTGGAACAGAAAGGTGGCTAGGAAGTACTGACGGCGTTAGGATGTATAGAGCCACTTCAACTTGGTGTAATACTGGGTAATCTGAATATCTCTTGAGATTCCGAAAACAGATAGTAATGCTCAATTCATTAGGCGTTTAAACTGTCCTCGAAATTAATTAATTAATTAATCTGTTGTGATGCTCGTTTAAATTAGTATAAAATCGTTGGTAAAGGGTCGTTACATGTTGGTCAACTGTTGGAAGATGGATGTCAGTATGTAGAATTTTGTTAGTCACGTTTCCATGTTGCTTTTTTATCAGTCGCAATAATTTTGATTGAAAGGATTGAAGTTTTTGTGGATGGATCTTTTATACGATACCGTATATTTGTGATGAGTATGCCTGTACGGGTTTGAGTATGTAAGTATTCAGTTTCTGTGTCAGTTTCAGTTTTGAAGATTTAGAAAAAAGAGGATAAGGTAATTTGAGTCGTTTGAAAAGTTTCCTACGTTTCATGTTTATGTGCGGGCCCCATGTCATCCTTCTGTCGAAGGTGAGTCCAAGGTAAAGTACCGTGCCCGTTTGAGGAATTTGATTGTTGTCAATAAAAACAGGAGGGTAGGTGTTTTTTTCTAAGAGCAAATGTCATATGTTTTGATTTGTCGAATTTTGTATATTTTGAACAAATCTCGCAATTTAAGTAAGTGAGGCTTGTGTAGGATCTTGATGTTTTGTAAGAATTGTTGTGTCGACTGCATAACTAGCTGTCAATGTCTCACCATTAACAGGTATATCGAAAGTGTATACAAGGTAAAGAAGAGGAGCCAGTATTGAACCTTGGGGAACTTCTACCAAGATTGGACGAATTGAAGACATTTTCGAGCCTTGCGCAACTGAGAAAAATTTGTCCAAGAGGAAAGATTGAAGGATAAGATAGTACGTGTATGACAGTATAATCGTAAGTTTTAAGAGAAGATCCTGATGCCAGGATCTATCAAACGTCTGAGTAACATCCAAAAATACTTCAGTTGCATATAGTTTTTGTTCTAAGCTCGAAAAATGTAGTCAGTAACTCTGTGTAATTTATTTATTTAAATTCTTAAAACATAACAGATTAATAAGAGATCGTTTTCCTTGAACTACCTAAGTAATTGAAACAAGTCAGGGAAGAGGTACTGCTGTGTACTATCCTTCCCCATGCCACTATGTCTCGTATTTCAGCACATTTGCTGATTGTCGACACATGTTGACAGGTGCAAATATTTTCAGCCAAAAAATAGTTAAATGAGAAGTAAATAGTGATTGAGCATAGATTAGAGTATAATTTATTTTAAATTTTTACGTAATCTTAATATGTCGTTTGATTGAGAATATAAGAATAATAGTTATTTTTTAGATTTATTTCTTGGCAAAAACAAAAATTAAATATTTTTTTTATTTGACAGCTACATATGCAGACGATACAACAATCCTCACAAAACATCAAGACCCTACACAGGCCTCACTAACTCTACAACATCATTTGCTTAAACTACAAGATTGGTCCACACTATGGAAAATTCGACTTAATCATGACAAATCCAAACATATAACATTTACTCTTCGAAAAAACACCTGTCCTCCAGTTTATATTGACAACAATCAAATTCCTCAAACGGACACGGTACTTTACCTTGGACTCACCTTCGACAGAAGGATGACATGGGGCCCACATGTTAAAATGAAACGTATGACACTTAACAAACGACTCAAACTACTTTACTCTCTTTTTGCCAAATCTTCAAAACTAAAACTAAAACAGAAACTGAATACATATACATACTTACTTAAGCCCATATGGACATACTCATCACAAATATACGGCATCGCTAAAAAGACCCACCTACAAAAACTTCAAACGTTCCAATCAAAATTATTGCGACTCATAACAAAAGCACCTTGGTACGTGACTAACAAAACTCTACATACTGACCTCCACTTTCCAACAGTTGACCAACATATAACGACCCTATATCAACGATTTTACACAAATTTAAATGGACATAATAACAGACTTATAAGAGACATGGCCACAGCTGACATACCTCAGAACATGAGCAGGAGACTAAAAAGGCGTTGGATGAGGGATCTCCTTCCTTAGATAACCTAAGTAATTGGAACAAGTTAGGGAAGAGGTACTGCTGAGTACTTTCCTTCCCCATGCCTGTCATGTCATTATATCATTATCGCCGTCACATTTGCTGATTGTCAACTTATTGTTGACAGGCACAAATATATATTTTATAGAAAAAAAAATATATATTTTTTTTTTTAATTTTGTTTACTAACCTCTAAGTTATTTTATTTTATTTATTGTATATACTTTTTTATTATTATTTAGTTGTTGTTTTGCTTATGTTTTTCTTTTTTTTTTTTGTACATATACTATACACATAAAGATTCCAATCATCGTATCGAAAAAGATTAAAAATGAAAGTTAAAATGTCATTTTAAACTCTAGTTTTTGTTTACTCGATTGGCGGAACATTTAAAATTCTCACGTAAATAGAGATGTCCTATTAAGAGGGGAGTCCTTATTAAGAGTTATTTAATATTATTTAAAATTTATTTACAAGTTTATATTGCGTAACAGGTAACGCATTGGCAACATCCGAGGTTTCACGCTTACTTCCCATCTGGTAACTCTTACCCTTCTATATTGGGTGACATGCTTTCCGACGCTATAGGGTGCATAGGGTTTTCCTGGGTAATGTATATATATTTTTTTTTTTTTTTAAATCCATAAATACTATATATTATTATTAATCACTTAAAATTGTATTAATCTTATACATTTGAGAAACAGGCTGCTAGCCCAGCGTGCACTGAATTAGAAACGATAGTCTTAGACTGGCTAGGTAAGATTGAGTAATTCATCAAGATAATAAATAAATAATAAATATATATTATTTTATATTATAATATTGAAATAATAACACAGGAAAAGCTATTGGACTTCCGGATGACTTTTTAGCCTTCGCACCTGGCAGCAAAGGTGGAGGCGTTATACAGGTGAGGATTCTTAAAAATAATATAAATTTAGCAATCAATACTAATTTAAAAATAATTGATCCAACTGTTGGGTAATAGTTACAGTAAATTAAAATAAAATAATCGATTATGTTGTCGATGCTAGATAAAAAATGATCCTTTTTGATTTTCATGCTGAAATAAAAAAAAAATAAAAAAACGCCTACCAATTATTAGTATTAACTTCTTTATCTCAGCGTGTATTTAATGATACTGAGCCGTCATGCAAATAGCATGACAACGGCATTAATAATGAATATCTAATGCAGGACTCAATAAGACTTGAAAATGGCCCTAGTGATGGTCGAAACGTCGTAATAAAATAGCTAATAAATAAAACGTTGGTGAATAATGGCCGAATTTATATAACAAATAAAACAACAAGACACCAATTTTAGGAATAATGAAAAAAAAAAAAAAAAAATTATATTTATATTATAACTAAGTTTCATATTATATTCATACTAAAACCTAACCTGTAAAAACCTCAAAGTACGCCCAGATACTCTGATTACTTTGTGATTCATCGATAATTCGTTTACTTAATTACTTTCTCTGTATATTTTATATTTACACGTATTTATATCTTTTTATTACTTATAACTTTATTGTATTCCTAATCAACCTGTAAATATTAAACTGTATTTTATGAACACACCAAAATATTAATATATATTTTGTACTTGTAACTTGTTCTAAAGGGACACTAGTCCCAAAATAATAAAATTATTTTCATTCATTATTAATTACGTCTTGTTATGTTTTCACTTCGATGGTGTGGTTCGAGCTAATGCACACACCTTATTTTTTTCTCGATTATTCTTTTATATCAGGGAACCCACCATGCATCTAAGAGATAATTATGTATTTAAAAAAATTAAAACTTTGTTCAATTTTGTATAGAACGTCTTTATAGCTGAGAAGCATGGTTTCTCTGATATAAGCAAAAATAAAAAAAATAAAAAATACCTTCTTAAAATAGTCTTAAACACATACCGTAGTTTTTAAAAATATTTTCTCGTCAATTACTGCCCATAAATACGCTTTCGAATGCCCTCAACTACATTCCGAAATTTTCAAAATTTCATCTACAATAGATTATTTAAGCTTGCGTCCAGACATGATATTATCCACTTTTTTTGTTTATAATGTCCAATGAACAAAATCTTATTACTTTATGTTCCTCACTTTAAATATATAATATTCCATGGTTGCAGACATCCGCCAGTGAATGCGTACTGGTTAACATGTTGGCCGCCAGAGCTCAGGCCATCAAGCGGTTGAAGCAGCTGCACCCGTTCGTCGAGGAAGGGGTCCTGCTGTCCAAGCTGATGGCGTACTGCTCCAAAGAGGCACACTCATGCGTAGAGAAATCCGCCATGATCTGCTTCGTCAAGCTGAGGATCCTCGAGCCGGACGACAAGTGCTCACTCAGAGGTCCCACACTCAGAAGGGTCAGTCAGTATATATATATATATATTTTTTTTTCAACTCATTTATTGAAAAATATTACAATCTGTCTCAAGGACATTTATAATAGTGTACTGAGATCACATTCATACTCTATGTACAATAAATAAAATGTATATTACACATGAAAAACTATAGTCCCCTATACGAGTGTTCATAAGGGCATATTGAGGAAAATGGAAGAAAAAAAAGTTTTGACTATGGGGCGTTGTTTAGCCGAGTAAGGAGGTAAACATACTAAAAGTCCCTCTCCTTGGCGGTGAACCAAAAAAGTGAGGGGACATCCAGGTCACTTTTTGAAATGAAAACATCTTTGGGCAAGTTTTACACTTTTTTTGTGGCCTCTCTAACCACTTCTACTGTTCTTCGTCAGGTTCAGCTTTAGCTAGGAATTCAATAATAGTAATAAATAATAATTTATTTTTTATAGTATTACATTTAAATTAATTATTATTATTATTATTATTACTGAAGAAGTTATTTATTTATAAAATCCATGTAGGAAAAAAATTAACAATAGAATGAATGCTTTTGTGTACTAGGGAATCCCCAGAGAACAGGAGAGTTTTTTAAGTGAAAACTTATTTAGACGGATTTTGCACTTTTTTAGTTGAGAGTAAATTAGATTGAGCCGTCAGATTACCGTTGTGTAACGTTCGAGTAAAGTCGGCTGGAGTCGACTAAATGAAATTATTTAGTAAGTGTTTTTTTAATTCATCATCATCAATCATATGTGGCACAACATCCCGTTACCGAGAACTGGGCATCCTCCAAGAGCTCCTCCGAGTTGGCTTCTGTCCTTCTGCTGCAGCTCTCCAGTTCGCACACCAAGGCAAGGGTTCTCGCATCATGCCAACTTGTCCAACACTCCATCCTCGCTTCTAACCCGTCCGACGAGTTGCAGCTCCTCCATTCATTATTTTCCTTAGTCTTTCAACGGGCCTCCCAATCAGGTCCACATGTGCGCTGCCCACCTGAGTCAGGCAGTTTAATATACGTGACTACGTCGATAGTCTGCATAGAGAGAACTGAGCTCCCTATTTTTCTTTTCCTTCCAGACATCAACCCTCCTTTACAGGACCAAAAATCCTTCTGAGACTCCTCGCTCAAACACTAATCTGCTTCATCTCATCTGTATAGGTCATCGTCCCCAAGCCTCTTAGCATATGACACAACAAGCCGAACAAGGGTCTTTATATGAGTCCACTTGGTCTTCTTTGAGAGGTACCTACTCCTTAATGTGTCGTCCAAGTCCAAAGACACATCTACTGGCAGCCGTGATCCTTCTTTGTAGTTCTTGAGCCAGTCATTTTGTGCTATTAATTTCAGACCCAAGGTATTATAGAAACTTTTTCACTCTCTCAAACTTAAAAGAACTACCTCAAAATGACAGTTTTAGATCCACCTCACCACCAACTCTCGCTGCGTTTTTTTAATTAATTATTTAAAATTTCCCACTAATAATACATTATTGTGTAACTTAGCCTAATACTTATACTAATACTTAGCCCGCGTTAGAGTTGTGCCGTGCGGGATGGTATATCCATAGCGCCGGCCTCGAGTCTTCTTCAATCCTGTTCTTTTTATATATATAATATATTACAGCTGATGTCAAATCACAAGTTTATAAATCATGAATATGTATTAACTAGTTGGCCCGTGCGAATAATTCGTAGAAAATTTTGTTTAGTGAAGAAATAGCAAAACAATATGGAAATAAATAGTTCATATGTATTATGTAAGGAATCAATTAATATCTTTTCCTTGGTCGATTACAATATTCTATTAAACAAAATAGAAATAATAGGAGACATTTCTAAACGCTGACTGTAATATAGACAAAATAATATCTCGATCATGGGATTTTCTAAATTATTAAAAAATAAATAAAATGTAAGAACAACCAAATGTCTTTAAGAAATAATAAAGTTAACATATCAGCCAGGAAAAAAAATGTAGTAGACTATTCTATTCCTAAATGCAATATCTTTAAATCGAAAGACATTATTAAGTATACCAAAACTGATGGACTGTATCTTTGTTAATAATTGTCCGATTTTTCCGATCTTTTTTTTTTTGTTTAGTAAGTAATTTAGTAATCTAAACGCATACTTTTTGAGTTATTCGCGAATGAAGTTTCTTTTCCTTCATAAATTTTTTTCCTACAAATTTCGGGATGATAGGACTATTTTTCGCATGTGAAGGAGAAGTATATCTTCAAAATGAGTGGTCAATCATTGGATTTGATGAAGAATTGACAAAGTTAAAGGGGAACCGATAAAAAAAAAAAAACCTTTCAGAAATAATATATAGGATTGTATCTTAACGCCACGCCGTGTTAGAAAGTAGAAAAGGAAAAAAATAGTATCGAAGACCAAACGATAAGGAGTTTTATTGAAGATATGGATTAAAATATCTTAGAAACCAAAAATCGGGCCTGTATACTGTAAGTGAGAGAAATATTCAGCATTTCATCCTCTATATAATGAGCTATTGAGTATTTATGATTTATATTTCATATTATTAATCTAGCCTTGTTGATGTTTTCACTTCGATCCTGTGGTCTAAAGCACACACCTTATTTTTTTTTTCCATTATTCTCTTTATATCAGAGACCCACCATGCGTCTTAAGAGATAATGAAGTTCTATAAAAAATTAAAACTACCTTCAATTTTGTATAGAACGTCTTTATAGCTGAGAAACATGGTTTCTCTAATATAAACAAAAAAAAACAAAAACATTCCACTCTGAGATAATCTCCAACTTTTAATTTTAACTTTTAAGTTTACTTCATAAACTCCAATAAATCCCATCAAATTACCTTTACCCTGCGTCGCAAACCTATGACCTCCTGTCCTACAGTATTCTTTAACAATTCCCCACTTATCCCAGTTGAACAAATTCGTTACCTAGGACTCCACGACTCCACCTCGACAAACGACTCAGATGGAATCCTCATACAAGACTGAAACGACAAGAAACCGCTCGACGTTTCCGACTACTCCAACACTTACTAGACAAACGCTCTAAGCTTGCACTCAATTACAAACGACTCATATATATGACAATAATAAGACCTATTTGGACCTACGGAATTGAGCTCTGGGGCTCCACTAAGCCATCGAATTCCTCTCGTATCCAATCCTTACAATCCAAAATCCTTCGTAAAATCCTCAACGCTCCTTACTTTGTCACAAACAAAATCATCCATAAAGACCTTAATGTTCCATATGTTTCCGATTTGGCCCAATCCAGATACCTATCCTTCCATAACAAACTGCAGAACCATCCGAACCCTCTTGTTTCAAACATTGCTTCCTCCTCTATCCCTGATAACCCTCCGAGGCGGCTGAAAAGAAGATGGCCTCGGAATCTTCTAATATAGAACTTTAATTTGAGTTCTACCAATGGGTAGTTTCTCTTCATATTTTACATGTCATGTTAACAATGTCACATTTACCTGTTGTATTTTTAATGTAATACAGTTGTAAATTTCAATAAAATTATAAATAAAAAAAAAAAAGTTTACTTCGTAACTAATCCCAACAAATCCTCAAAGCCAAAACGTTTATTCCTTCCATTCCGATCATTCATTCATTGTACTAATATATGCCACTTCAAACTCTGTTATCATACGATGATAACACCCATTGCAGGCGATGGAGGAGGACGAAGCGATGGGTCTGATACCGTTCTTCGTATCCACCACTCTCGGGACGACATCTTGCTGCAGCTTCGACGCCCTCGCGGAGATAGGACCTATCTGCCGCCTCTTCTCCAATGTATGGCTCCACGTCGACGCCGCTTACGCGGGTAACGCTTTCATCCTTCCCGAAATGAAACACTTCCTCAATGGAATAGAGTATGCAGACTCCTTCAACACAAACCCCAATAAGGTATTGTATTGCTTTGTACTGTTTGATCCAACAGGTCGTTCCTCAACTCAGCATAAATCACCATCGATCGATAGATTCCATCAATGAAATCAGAAAGTTGTCCATATTAATCTTACCCTCACTAACCCTCTATTCTATCTGTACCCCAGTGGCTGCTGGTGAACTTCGACTGCTCGACGATGTGGGTGCGGGACCGACTCAAGCTGACCTCCGCGCTGGTGGTGGACCCGCTCTACCTCCAGCACGGCTATTCCCACTCGACCATCGACTACCGCCACTGGGGGGTGCCGCTGAGCAGGAGGTTCCGCTCCCTCAAGCTGTGGTTCGTCATCAGGAGCTACGGGATCAGCGGCCTGCAGGACTACATCAGGCACCACTGCCAGCTGGCCAAGCACTTCGAGGCTCTGGTCAGGAAGGACAACAGGTTCCTCGTCTGCAACGAGGTTAAGGTAATCCACACTATATATAACATGAAAGTGCATATCCCCATTCCCGGCTCTGAAGAGCGTTGGATTGTAGTGTATTAGCTATTTAGGGTCCATTGTTTATAAGAACTTTTTTGTAGCTGTTGAGTTTCTCTGTACTTACGGTGCACTCTTTATATGTAAAAGACTGTTTAATTTTTTTTTTTTTATTAACGAAATTTACAACTGCAATTAATAATAAATATAACAAGGAAATATAAATCATTATGGATGATTTTATTTGTGACAAAGTAGTGAGCATTAAGGATTTTACGAAGGATTTCGGATTGTAGGGATTGGATACGAGAGGAATTTGATGGTTTAGTAGAGCCCCAAAGCTCGATCCCGTAAGTCCAAATAGGCCTTATTATAGTAATATATATGAGTCTTTTGTAAATAGTTGGCAGTTTAGAGCTTATTTTTTTTTAGCATATTACTAATGATTAAAAAAAAAAAAGTTTAGCCCAATAATTAGAATCGCCTTTTTATTTATTTTTCTTTGTCAATAGGAAGGTAATGTTACTTTAGATGTATAATTGTTTGAAAATAATAAACCATTGTGATATAATTTGCAGTGTTTTTTTTTTAAATGAACCGTAAAAAAGGTAAATGAAGGAGATCAGCTAAATGACTCCGTGAACACTTCGCATAATATAGAAAGAATTTTTTTTTATTTTTAAAAAATAAATAACTAGTAACAAAGGACTAAACAAATAGGTCTTATAGCTAGTATGATAAAGGACTATAACAAGTTCAGGAATAGATGTGTCTTATTTCCTAATTACTAAACTAGAGGGATATTTCCAATGAGACAAGCTAATCGCTTATTAAATAAATTGTCACTTTAACAGTCGTAAAATGTTTAAGCTTCACCGATCGTATGTATTTAATAGATTGTTTATATAATATTGCATTGTAATACATAAGTATATTTTCCCGATATTGTTTAAACGTTGAACGCATTAAGGAAAATTAAAGCTATCTAATAAGAGAATTCTCGAAGAGGTATACTAGTGGTAGTTTTAAAAAATTAATCTGTCACCGCTGAAGTAAATAGTCAAACTATTACAAAAAGACACGACAGAATTATGGACAAATTATCGGAAACAAATCGACTAAGAATCGATACAACAACGGTTGAACTTTATTCAGTCACATTAAACTTAACGATGACATGAAAAAGTAATTTTCTTACAAAGTAAATTATCATTAGCGCAAATGGACATTTGGTCACTAAGGCTTAAGTGAGGAATATTTAGAGAACGCTAGGCTAGGAGTTAATAATGTTAACAATTCATCGACCAATCAAAACAGAGAGCCCTTATCTTATCAAATCTCAAAGGTCGAACTAAATCATTACAATTACGTTATCTAAATGACTGCTAATTTTGAACTCACGTGTTCTAATGACCAAAAAGTTCTGTCTGACCGTGAAAGTGCGCCAAACGTGTTCTCAGGTTATGAAACGGGTTTTAGTCCATGGTACAGACCCCTTTTTATGAAATTATTAACATCCGCCAAAAACTTCCTGAATAGCTTCATCTTATCTTAAATTACAAATATTTTATTTACGAAAATTCTAGGAATTGGGACATTTTTAATCTGAAGATCGGCATAATTTGTCTATTTAATTAGGTAGTAAAAAACTCGTAAATACCCATTTGCTTTCCACATTGATCGTAAGGTAATGTGAGCACAAAATCGATAAAAAAATTGGGAATTTTTTCCAATATTAGCTCGTTATTCTGACATTTTGGAGGCGAATGTGACGCCAAATGGCTCGATATTTTTGCAGGCCATATTTTTTCTCGAATGTATTATCAAATTATCTTACGATTGGAGTGGAAAATAAATGGATATTCATGCGTTTTTAGTACCTAATTAAATAGAAGAGTTTGCCAATCTCCTGTTTGAAAACGCCGAGAATTTCTGTAAATAAAATATTAGTAGGTTACGACGCTATTTACGATGTTTTAGGTTGATGTTAAACATTTGATTAAAGGGGGTATGTACCACGAACTGTAAGACCAACTACAGAAAACTGGAAGTGATTCATAACATATGCATCAGATTCATGGACAATTGTCCAAAATATCCATCATGGTATCAGAAATGCAGCTTCCAATAAAGAATAATATATTTTAAAACAAAAGATTTTTTGAGCTTACAAAATTATCTCAAAACCCCGTGATCTAATATTTTCAAACCACTTTTTTTTGTCGATTTTTTGTACAAATTATCTAACGATTGAAGTGGAAAACAAATAGGTAGAGTATTTACGAGTTTTTAATACCTAATTAAATGGTAGTTTTTCGACCTCCAGATTGAAAATGTCCCAATACCGAGAATTTTCGTAAATAGAAGATTTGTAAGTTATGGTGAAATAAAGCTTTATAATCAAACTCTACATGTGACCAGGAAGAACTATAGCAACATATTGATTTCATCAATAATTATTCAGTCTTATAATAAAGGTCTGATGATATGGACCAAGTGGGGCTAAGAGACCAAGATTGTTTGGACAGAGATGAGTACAAGAAGGCGCTCAAGGGAATAACTGTTCTTGCGGGAAAGAAGCGCTCCAAAAAGAGTCTTGCGTGGTCTGAGGAGAGAAAACGTAAGCACGCGGAGCTCATGAGGGGTATATGGGAGACGAGTAGGCAGATGAAGAGGAAGCATTAAATTCGTGATATTCGCGTGGTCTTTAAGGCTTGTTCGTGAAAATAAAAATAAAATAAAAAAAGGTCTGAAAACTACATTGAAAAATAAATAACATATTGCATTTATAAACTTTATAGAAAAATAAATAAAATATTGAATTTCTGAACTTAATTAAATTACCAGTGGTCATTTATGAATGAATCTACACAAGCAGTTATTGAATTTTAGCAACGAAGTTTCAGGCGGATGTTAATAACTTGATAAAAAAGGGTCTGTACGACGGACTAATATGTTCTAATGACAAAAACATCTGACGGTTTCCATAAGTCCTGTGTGACCGTGGTAGAACCTAAAAGCTACACAGAAAAAAGATAAAATTCAGAGAACAAAAAACCTGTTCTCAAGTTATGAAATGGATTTAAAATGCAATTCCCTTCCACTTCGCCAAAGAACATGTTTGGTCGAACCACACACGGTTTCGGACTCAAGAGTGCCTGGTTCTGAACGTTGGCTCGATTCCCATCTGGGTGGGTTATTTATTTCTTGTACGCCCTAGAAAATGAATCTCGAAACTCATTTCTCTTTTTATTTGCATATATTTTCAATCCCACTGCGCCTCATATACAATATGAGTCAAAGATTTTTTATATACACAACGACCTTCCTGATTCCATCCATCATTCACAATACCATTTATATGCAGACGATCTCCAAATCTACCTTCCCTTTTATCTTACTGAGATGCTTGAGGAGATCCGAAGACTACAAAAAGATATAAAGAGTATTATTACTTAGGCAGCGAGTAATGATTTAAAGTTGAAAGTCGAGTAGACACCATCACTCTACAACCGTGTAATCTCGTGTGGCACTCTCAAACTAGTTATCAGCCTGCTATGTATTGAACATAGTAAATAATATTTTAAAAATTATTATGAGTTGCCAAAAAGAAAACTAAAATATGCTGATACCAAACATATCTGCTGTATTCAAAAAAAGTGTCAAAGTGGTGATCAAGTACTTAAAGACAGAAGAGAACAGGAGCTAGGGAAGGCCTTTTGTTAGAGTAACTGGTAGCTAGTAACGGATTAAATAACTGGTTTCATTTAGGGCGTTAAAGTTAAAATAATTTTTACACTCGCCGAAGTTAAGAACCAAAACCATCCAATGGTCCAATCCAGATACATATCCTTCCATGATAAACTTCAGATTCATCCCAAACCTCTCGTTTCAAACCATGCTTCCTCTTCAATTCCTGATAACCCTCCGAGGCGTCTGAAAAGAAGACGGCCCCGTGATCTCCTAATGTAAACATATCATTAGAGTGCTACCATTAGGTAGTTACTCAGCAAGTGTCTTCATGTCGTTAAATACATTATGTTCAAATTTACTGCATGTATTTATTTAATACAGTTTTTATTAAATATTTCTGGATAATTGTCATCAATAATTATCCAGTGGCATTGTGGGTAATGTTTACCCCCAAAACATAACAACTTTAATGCCATCCCTTTTGTAGGGGGGGGGGAGAGGTAAAACATAGCAAGGCCTTGGCAAAAGGGCTACTTCCTCTCCCATCAGTACCAGTACTTCTTGCCCAATCGATGATCTTCGATGCCGAGTAAATCTCCATTACTTTCCGAGAATATAAGATAATAAACAAATTTTATACTAGCGAAAAATAATGTATCTGTGTTGAACTGTTTCAGCTGGGCCTAGTCTGCTTCCGACTGAAGGGAACAGACAAACTCAACGAGAAGTTGTTGAGCAACATCAACGCCAGCGGAAAGTTGCACATGGTGCCCGCCAACGTCAACGACAGGTACACCATCAGGTTCTGCCCGACCGCCCAGAACGCCACCGTCGAAGACGTAGGTAAGTAGGTCTTTAATTTCGACACAAATTGGTACCATCAATGATGTTATCAAACCAAGAAAATCTCATTAAATTAAGGGTTATGCCAGCGGGGCCAATCCCATAACCGCCTTCAAAAAAAAAAAAAAAAAAAGAAATAAATTAAGAAAAAGAAAAAAAAAAAAAAAGAGTAGACAAATTTGAAAGAAAAGTCCTTAGCACGATAACCGAATAAATCTAGGATCAGAGCTTCGCAGTATGGAGGATAAGTATAGACAGAATAAACTGTCTATCTTGCGGAGCTGCATTTAGGAAACTGTAGGTTTTTTTTTTTTAAGTTAAAATATTTCATTCTAAGCTTCGAAACAATTGCAGAAGGGTCTATATACAAGGCATATTTGTAAATAAGGGGTTTATCATTGGAGTTACTCTAATGAGATCATAAAAAAATCATAAAGATAAAAAAAAAATTGTATATCTGATTTTAAAAAGTATTAATCAAGGATTATTATTAATGAGAAGGAGTTGATCGGGGGTTGCGGTCAAATAAATACTAAATTATACAAATGGTATTATTTAATTTTTGCCGACGTTTCGACCCACCTTGCAGGTCTTCATCAGGGCTACAAAAGGTACAAAAAATGGTGAAAATAAAATAAATGAATATAAGTAGATATTAAATAAGAAGAAGTTGTCTCATAAAGAAATAAAAAGATGATATCAGAGATATTGTGGGTGACAATGTAGTTAAAATATCAAGTATTATATATATATATATATATATATATATATATATATATATATATATATATATATATATATATATATATATATATATATATAGAAGATACAAACAAAAATGGAAAATAAGTATGAATAAAAATAGAAAAGCTTGTATTCTGAGATTGTTCACTATATCTCTGATATCATCTTTTTATTTCTTTATCAGACAACTTCTTCTTATTTTATATCTGCTTATATTCTTTTATTTTATTTTCACCATGTTTTGTATCTTTTGTAGCCCTGATGAAGACCTGCAAAGTGGGTCGAAACGTCAGCAAAAATTAAATAATACTATTTGTATAATTTAGTATTTATTTGAACGCAACCTCCGATCAACTCCTTCTCATAATATATCACGGTCAACCATCTCTACATGATTATTATTAATGTTAATTGTAAAAATTTTGTTCAAAAATATAATCATGGCGGAATCATGATCAACCGCCAGGTTTTCAATATTAATTAATTATTTAATTAAAAGGTGCACTTTACAGAGACTCGGTGTATGAGACAGAATTTAAAAGAATTTTATATAGAACTATTTTTAAAATAAAAATATTCAGAAAGAACAGTAGGGGTAATGAGCGTGAATGAAACGGATCTCCATTGAAAAGAAGCTTCATGGTCGAACGGCCGCAAGACAATGTACAAACTCACGTGTACCGTCCGACATTGCGACAACGACAAATCGAATCTAAAGAACAATATGCCTGACTGGTAACTTCACGGGCTTCCATCCAGTAACGAATCAATATTGAATAAGTATTTTATGTACAATATATTGATCAATCACTTGATTTATATACTGGATTTGGAATTTGGTACATATATATGAGTGATTACCTTTAAACGGGGAATTTTGAAGGTTTTTTTTTTTTTTTTTTAATAAAATATCAGGATTTGTCATTTTTTATTTTATTTTTTTTTTTTTTAGGAAAATCATTTCTTAAAGTACTCACTATAATGTAACACTATGTTTCATTTATAGAAATATCTCGTTTTTATTTTTTTAAATAAGTTTATAAAACGAAGGAAAGATGAACTACGACGTTTTCTAAAGGAAGATTTAACAGTGAAATTTAATATTAAACTAAAATATAAACATTTTCGTAAGTTGAAAACAATTTCCGGTAATAAGATTATTAATATATGTCTGTTTAATATATCTTTAGAAAACTTAATATTTAAGAACATGAAAGGTCATAGAGAACGACAAAAAACATCATTTCTAAAAACTAATATTATTTATATTGAGTGCTACAGTGGATAGTTTCTCAACAAGCGTTTTCATGAGATTATATTTCTGTGTGCACACTTGATGTATTTATATTAATAGAGTTGTAAAGATCATAAATAAATATTTAAAAAAATATATATTATTTATTAGAAAGTAAACATTTCCATAAGAAATAATTCAAATTAACATCCGCCTGAAACTTCGTAAATAGCTTTATTTCATCGTAATCTACAACTATCTTATTTACGAAAACTCTCGTAATTGGGGCGTTTTCAATCTCGAAGTCGACAAACTTTGTCTATTTAACTAAGTACTAAAAACTCGTAAATAACCATTTGCTTTCCACTTGAATCGTAAGATAATTTGAGAACGAACTAGAGAAAAAAAGTGGCCTTCAAAAATATTGAGCTGTTTAGCGTGACCTACATCCCCAAAATATCACAATAATAAGCTTGTATAGGCCAAACAGCCAAAAATTATTGAAGGGCACCTTTTTTTTAGATTTTGTGCTCAAATTATCTTACGATTCAAATGAAAAGCAAATGAGTATTTACGAGTTTTAGCACTTAATTAAATAAGCAAAATTTGCCGATCTCCAGATTGAAAACACCCCAAATACGAGAATTTTCGTAAATAAAATAGTTGTTAGTTACGATGAGATGAAGCTATTTACGAAGTTTCAGGCGGATGTTAATAATTTGATAAAAAGGATTCTGTACCACGGACTACTACTTTTGCCCATTTCAATATATCTTGAACCTAAAGAATTATTAATGAAAAGAAAATTGAACTAAAAAAATCTGACGAGGCATGCGCATTACACTACTTAAATAATTACATCTCTGCTCAAATATGGCTAGTTGATGTCTAATTATTTAAATTTATTACAAGATTTTAAAGCTAAAGTTATTCAAGGTTTTTACAATGTTTTTTCCTCCTGTAAAGACTGTCCCAGAAGTACGATAAAATATTTTTTTAACAATTCCAGAACGACTATCCAGTGTAATTTATATATGTGTGTTTATATATATATATATATATACTATCACTATCAGTAGTGAAATGCTTGTTCATTATGCATTGGTATTGTTTTACTTTCACTTACGTATATATGTAATATATAGTAAGTGTAAGTATTGCGATCGAGAAAATTTTTGAATCTGAGTTTTCAACGGAAATAGACGTTCTGAGGTACCCTGAGTCGAAATGACCAAGTCCCGAAAAATGGTCTGTGTGTCTGTATGTTAGTAGTCTAGCTCAAAAACGAAAAGTAGTACGAAACTGATATTAAGTATTTAAGGTTTGTATATGGGCCGGATGTGACAGCAACTTTTTCGTTAAAATCGGCTAACCGGAAGTGCCACTTTATATGAACGCTGTCCATTTCGGAGTGTCCATCACTAGTGCAATTTTTACTTTCACTTACGTATATATGTAATATATAGTAAGATTAAGTATTGCGATCGAGAAAATTTTTGAATCTGAGTTTTCAACGGAAATAGATGTTTTGAGGTACCCTGAGTCCAAATGACCAAGTCCCGAAAAATGGTCTGTGTGTGTGTGTATGTTAGCAGTCTAGCTCAAAAACGAAAAGTCCTACGAAACTGATATTACGTATTTAAGATAGGTATATGCCTTAGATGTGACAGCAACTTTTTCCTTAAAATCGGCTAACCGGAAGTGCCACTTTATATCAACGCTGAAACACATTTTCACAATTTTCTCAAAAACGGCTCTAACGATTTTGATTAAACTCGGTGTATCATTGTATAATTAAGTGGTCTTTAATATCAATTAGGTCTTATCCCCATTGATGTCACTTTACAGGGCTTAAATGCCCAATGTTCATATACGTCTTCCTCTAAAGTACCTTTAATATGGTTTATTTTAAAAAGTTAATCATTTCACATTATTCAAAGTAATGAAAAAATGCTAAATATAACTTTTGAAAGAATTTGATAAGTTAATAAAGGAGAAAAAAAAATGCAGAAAAACCTGCGTTGCTATAGACTGTAGCGCCTAAACGAATGTACCGATTTCAATGAAACTTCGCTAAAGTCATTTTCTCGACACCCTTTAAATTTATCTATATAACATACTTCAACGAAAAGAAGCTGGAAAAAAGTTACGAGGGATGGTAAAATTAAATTCCGAATAACTCAAAAAGTATACACTATTATGTTTTTTTAAAAGTTTATGGAATTTCCTAAAAAAACAAAAAAAAAATCGTTAAGATCGGACAACTAGGAGGAAAGATATGGTCTCTAGTTTTTTTCCCTGAAGAGGCGAAAATTTGGATAAATTTAAAATATACTTTTTTAATTGTTGAGACTAAAAAAACTTTTTTTCTACAGATATTTAATAAAGTATCTTTCCTAAGAACATTTTTCATAAGAAATAAGTACCTAAATTTATACCTTTATTCTCAGTTCTATATTTCAACATTGCAATCACCACCTCCGGAATCAACTTACTCATTTTCTGCATAGATAACTTTTTCAACTAAAAATATCACTAAAATGACATCACTTAAAAATATTGAAATTGGAGTTAGTCATTCTGAAGTTTATAAAAGCAAAGAAAGTTGTGTGGTTTATAAAAGCAGATGGAGTGACTAGATTTTTATTGCCTGTTGTCGATATATTAAATAGACATTTTGTAATTATAATGGTCTTAATGAATTGTTATCTGTAAGCTTTAAGCTTTAGCTCCGTTTAAAATGCACTTCAAAAAAATTTATAATAGCCCAGCATTGCCAGAAAATAATTTCTATTCATAGTAGATCGGTAAGTGAAAGTTGTGTGTTGCGCGCACCAGATTTTTTAAATTAAGAATAATCAATATGGAATCTTCAAATATGGCACTCTTTAATATTAGCTAGAAAACGAAATTTGTGCATATCAAACCTGCGAATGTAGAAGAGTAACTGTATTTCCGAATCGGCATCTTCCTGAGCTTTTATTCTCATATGAAAAATTGTATACCTTGTAATATAGAAATATTCTAGCCAATGAAAACCGCGAGGAAGCTAGACTGACCTTACTTGGCAGATTTTTTTTTCACTTTCTTAAATATTAAGTTTTCTAAAGATTTATTAAACAGGCATATATTAATACTCTTATTACCGGAAATTGTTTTCAACTTATGAGAATGTTTCTATTTTAGTTTAATGTTAAATTCTTTCACTGTTAATTAAACCTTCTTTTAGAAAACATCGCAGTTCCTCATTCCTTTATCTTATAAATTTATTGCTTAAAAAAATAAAAACGAGATATTTCTATGAATTAAACGTCGTGTTACCTTATAATGAATACTTTAAGAAATGATTTAAAAAATATATATATTAATTCCATTTTAAAGGGAATCACTCATACATATGTATTAATATTGTTGTTATTAAAAAAAGAAAACACTTTTCAGAATACGCATGGAGCGTAATAACTGAATTCGCAACCGACCTGATAGAACTACAGATGCTCGAGAAAGAACAGGTAAAAAAAAAATAAAAATACGTTGCATTGTTTTAGAACTATTTGTAATAAATAAACATTATAATCCTGTATATTCCAATTCAAGGAAAACGCGGACGAAGTATTCGAACTGGCCGACAGAAAGAAAAAGGAAGCCCTCGCCTACAAGAGATCCTTCTTCGTCAGGATGGTCTCCGACCCCAAGATATACAATCCCAAGATCGCGAAGTCGCTATCCGGAGGAAGGAGGCACACATCTCACGTCACCGACGACGACGACGACATCGAAGCGCCGGAGAGTTCCGCTGTCGCCGTCAATACACCAGTGTAAGCAAATGTAATACAAAGTATTACATTTTAGTAATGTATTTATTATATTGATACATAAAAGGGACTCGTTTTTCTGTTGTAACTGTTAACCGAAAAACTGTTATTTTGCAGAATGTTCCTTCTTAAGGGCTCATTATAAGGTCAATATCGAGATTCAATTATGAAAAGAAGAATAGTTGGGGTGGTCAGTCAAAAAAGAAGGCAAAAATAAATGATAATATTTATTTTTGCCTTCTTTTTTGACTGACCACCCCAACTATTCTTCTCTTCATTATCCACGACAGTCAACCATTTACCAATTATGAGATTCAATTATATTGAAGTCAATATAACTGGTTTATATTAAAAATTTATTTTCATTTTTATTGAAGCTCTTTCAATATATTCAATCAAAAGATAAAATGGTAATATGTTTCAGTAGGTGGAAGATCAGGAAGAAGAGGGAGGGGGGAAGGAAGAACTCCTCCCTCCCTAACATTTTTTAAAATATAAAATTACAATATTTTATGCCATTTAACTGTTTCGAAGTAAACATTTTTTGTCAAAACCTGATTTTTATACAAAATTTAAAAAGATTTTTTTTTTACAAAACTTTTTTTTTAAATATTAATTATTAGAAAACAAGAACAGAACCAATATTAAACAAGAAACTTTTAAATTTCTAGGAAAAAAATAAACATTAAAAAGAACACACTTTTTTTTTTAATGCTACAGCAAAGGCAACTAAAGTAATAGGAAATTCATTATTATGCATTATTCATTAAATTGACCATGTAAGGAGCCCTTTAAACAGTTAAGGTTTTAAGCTATTGAAACTTCAACCTCATAGCATGCTGTAGCAATTTCTACTACAATGAATTGGGGTTACTTTGGCCCAAATTTGTTGTGCTAAATATAAATAAAGTGAGTGAACTCATTTATAACGAGGTTTAGTAAGTTTCAAATAAGCCATAAAGATTTTTCTTTGTCTAGATCAAGCACATAAAATCATTTTTCGGCTTAGCTTCTCGCAATGGCTCAAGTTGTTCCAGTTGACCGAACCTTTTCTAAACATCCTTAGTTACAAAAATACTCATGGTGTTATATTATTATGTTATATTCCTGACCATTTCTTGCATATAGGGGGTTATCCTAAAAATGACTAACTTATTCTAACCAGAGTGGCTTGGTCGAGATACATTCCGTGCATCCAAAACGAAATAAATTTTCAACTCACCCATCCCAAGCTGGGTTAGAACAAGCGCTCCTAGCTGGCTAAAGTCATTATGACGCCTTAACATGCACGACTTCAATGTTATTTATACTAACAATTAATATCCTTTATTACTCCTGACACATCTTAACATCTTTTAACAAAGAAAGTTTGTTTCATAACATTTGTATAATTAAATCTCTACTAATAGTTTAAGATTGAAATCATCCCAAAAAGCTTCAAACATTTTGTAATTCTTTTCGCAGAGGTTCGGTTCTAGTTTCCTCTCCGATTCTTTTCCACAATGACTACTGATGTCTATTGTATGGGCGACATCTGGTGAACACAAAATGAGACTAAAAGGAGCAATGAATTGTTTCATAAGATTCATCTTTGCTCTTCTCAGACACTCTCAAGGCTGGGCTATTTCGTAATTTTCAAAGACAATACATTTTAAGTGGTTTCCTTTTTCTATCTTTGAAAACTGAAAAATCATTCTATGTTTTTGACTTCATCGCCCTGTGTTCTACTCCTTTGTTAAGAGATCTCAACCTTTCGATTTGAATGTTCCTTCTCATAGAACAATTTTCTTTGAAAACTCCTTTGTAATTCATGATAACTCATACTTGATTTTCTTACTCAACTCATTGCGTCCAGTTCCATCATTAATTTTATCAATCTTTAAGATAAGGAAAATTGATAACATATTTCAACTATTTTTATAATTTGTAAAATATGGTTTAGGTATTGTAACGCTGCAGTATTATATAATGAACCCTAAAACTTTCCTCTACATTTCTCAACAGTTTATATGATGTAAATAATGTCTTTAGAAATGGACTTGTAGTTTCTAAAAATAAGAGCAATAGATCAAAGTAGTAGATTTATTAATTAATTAATTGCCATTATATTTCACCATACATTCAATATTTATACATGCAGTTCATTGTTAAAGAATTTCCTTTATTTTGTAGGATTTAAAAAAATATTGAACAAAATTTAATAATAGCAGATATGGTTTAATAATTATACATAATATAAATTTTAATATTTATTCAAATATATCTAAATAAAATAGGGAAATTTTAAATACATATAAAAGAACAGTTAATTCTAATAAATATTGCAATTTGTATATACATATAAATTTTCTGTGATATATATTTTGTCAAATCAATATTATCAGTTAAAATACCAAAGTAAGAATTCGTTTTTGTTATCAGTGCCTCGTGGATAAGCTGGCCACTAGCATTTCTTTTTCAAGAAGCTGGCGCTAATGAATTAGCAGTGAGGTAATGTATCCTAATTTTTTTTAAGTGATTTATTTTTAAATTATCAACAATAAACTTAACAATTTAATTGATAAGGAGTTAGTCAGGAGTGCGGTCAAATTAAATATGTCTATAATAAAATAAAATGGTCGATTATCTCTATACCATTTACAATTTATTATTATTATTACTGATTTGCATGATTACAATATATTGAGGCACTTGATGACAATATAATTTGCCAACATTGTACGCTGCACTGAATAATATAAAATTTTATTTTATTCTTTGTTTAAAGATTTCGTCATTTGGATACTCTTGTCCGTCTACCAGCGAAGAAAGAAGGCTCTTCATCTAGAAGGAGCTCTTGTTCACCGTCACCGGACAACAGTAATTCTAAGTCACCTTCAAGGTCTCCGGTACTCGGCAGAAGGAAGCCGCCTAGCCCAAACTGAAGATAGAACTAATGCGAGTTTTTACTTCATAAACGGGAAAAAAAAAATGCTTTTGAGTTGGCTTTAAAGCTGATTAAAATATTTAATAAAAGGAGGTAACCTCAGCTATACCTAATTTTTTGTTATCATATTGCCTGTTTAAAGATAAAAGAACTGTTAAAATGATTCATTGAGATAATAATTGGTTAACATCTATAAGAAATTCTAGTCCAAGAAAATATTTAGATAAGAAATGATACAGTTATTTATCATTAGAGTTCTTTTAATATATTTGAAAAAAATAATTAATGAAGAAATATGTTTATATATAAAATATTTGATGTTGTAAAACTTATTTAAATGCATTTATATGTCTTTCATAGGAATTGCATTATATGCATTAAATTAAAATTAAATTACTAAATAGATAATAAATTTTAAAAAAAGTTACAATAATCTGACAATATGGAATGTGATATTTTCATTTCAAAGTTGAAGAATAAAGTTTATTTGATGCAATAATTGTTTTAAAATAAGTCCCATAGAAATAATTGAAATTTTTAATTCAAGTAAAACAAATAGATAACAATCGGACTTATGACAGTGATAAAAATTTCACCGTATTTATATTAAGAAAAAATAATCTTAGTGGCCAAAATCATTCCAAACAAAGATATAAGCCAGACTAGTGTAGAATAATAATATGAGATTTATTGGTAAGTTATTTACGTCCACAACTGAAGTTGCCATGAACCACATAACATATTAAATAATATAACAAGATACAATCAAAGGGATACAAATCAATAAATAAATACAGAAGCTGAAAATATTAATACTTATTTAAAAATATCAAAGAATTATATCTTTAAAAAAAAAGAAATCGGGGATAAGTATAGAAATATCACTTCTGGATCAAAGGAGAGGAGGGTCAGTTTCACATTAATCACACTGTATAAAAAATCCTGAAAGTAGTAGAGTGTGTCCGACAGTATAAGCAGGTGACTGATCTCTTGGTAAGGCAAAGAACTCAAGTCAAAAGTACCCATTGAGGTTCTTACCCCTCTTGAACAAACATAGTGAACTGACACATTAACATAATTTTTCAAAACTCGGCAATTTACAGAATATAACCTACAGTATGTTCGATATGATCTTGACCCATATGCCATTCATAACTGACACTTGTGATAAAACTTGATTTCTAAAATAATACTACGTTACTATAATTAATTAATAATAATAAATCCTATCAAGTAAACAAAAATAAGATAACACAGTTATGACATGATAGTAGTTTTCACAAATCTTTAAATTTAAGCGATTCAGATTAGAAAGGTAATGTTAACGGGTTAATTTATCACTGGTATTATAGAGACTGAAAGCTTGGTGTTAAAGATCTAATCTTATTGTAACAATTGATTTATGCCTCTTTTTGATATTTTGTTCTTTGCTACAAATAGAACTATAGTTTACAAAGATTTGTTTCAATAAAAATATAACAGAGAATGAATCCTTGTTTAAAATAAAAGTAAGTTTATAAACTAATAATTGTATAACTTAAATTGGAGTTATATTGTAAAGAAATATACCTAATATTATGAAACTGCTTAATTTGATAGATAAAGAAAAGTGTTCAAAGTAACAAAAACAATTTTGAAATGTCACATTTGTATATCTTGAAGAAAAATATATATTCAAGCCCAATGGGTTAAAAAGTCATAAATACCATATATAAAATAAAAACTCAATAATTTTATGCTGAGTAACATATGATATCAGTCTATTAAGATGGATTTCTTAGAAAATGCACAATAAATTGAAATAACTGGTCTTAATTTATGATAAAGAAATACGAATTGACATTGAAATTTAACTTCTCTAAGCAATAAACGATGAAATAAATTAATTTTGCAGTTTTTAATATTCTTGTTAAATTACAATTTAAGAAACTCCTAATATATTCAGTAAGAAATCAAAAACAATAGTTTTAATAACTTTTTTATTTTAAGATTTTAAAAGACAGGGATGATTAAGAATAGTATATAAACAAGACAAAAATTAAATAAATTGTAAAATTAAATTTCTGTCCCCATGAAGACAAAATGTATTCAATCTTTTCAAATAGGAGATGAATTTTCCTGAGAGATAAGAAACCGGAATCAAAATATCGATGTGAATTATAAAATTAACTTACTTGGATAAAATATTAGAAGAAAAAAACACAACAACTGCACTTGAAACAAAGTAAAGATTTTTGAACTTTCAAACTAAGATATAACAATGAGATAGGTTACAATTTATTTTTTAACTCCGCCAGCAGACAAATTTTTACATAGAGATAAGAGACGAACAAACTCATTCCTACCTCTATGGATTTATAGTATTTAATATACTAGGGTCTTCATGATCAAAGCGATCGCGGGCATTCTTGTGACGTTCATTCATGAATTACCGTGTAGGGTCTGCTTAACTAGCTCACTTAAGGGTCTTTAAACTTTTTGTCCGCGGGCATTATTGAGACCTCCACTAAGCCCCAAGGGCCGTATTGAATATTTGGAACAATTCAGAAAATTAATTAAATAATAAATTATGGCAGCCATGACTTCAGACTTGAAAAAATAAAAACATTAAAAATTATAAAGATACTTTAGCAACACAGTAAAACTTCAAAAAAGATACTGCACCATTGTACGAGCTTTTCAGTCAACAGAGTGACTAACTCTAATTTCAACATTTTTAATTATTAATTTTAATGATATTTCTAGTGGAAAAATGTATACCTTTATTCACTGTTTCATATTTCAACACTACAATTACATACTGCGGAATCAACTTACTATCTTTACAGATATAAACTTACCAACTAGAAATATCATTAAACTGACTTTACTTAAAAATGTTGAGATTAGATTTGATCATTGTCAACTGAATGGCTCATACAAATAGTGAATCTTTTAATTCTCATGCTTTAATATCAATCTATACTTACAACAAACTAATTATTAAGACATAAATAAAAATAATAAAATCATTCAATGAATAATTAAGGTAGTCCTTTGTTTCAAATTTCAGATTTGTATAGTAGTGGCAGAGGAAATGAAATTTCTTTTCATATTCAGTTATTAGGTTTACTCATCTATTTGTCTTATTTTTTATGTATATGGATTTTTTTTAAATTGGAAATAACTTTATAAGGTCACAATGTAACATTTAAAAAACACTATTTGAGTTTATACATCTCATTCAGCAATAGCTGTGTATCAATAAAATAAATAAAATTTTAGAAGTTCATTTACATATTAGAAGAATTGTGAATTACTTTTAACATGTATTGAAGAATGAGAAATCTTCCCTTTTTAGTATTTGATTATTAACTGAACAGTGAATAATTGAACAACTTTCTTTTTATGCTGATACAACTCATTCGGGAGCTTATAGGCTTGAGGTCAATGATGAGTTGCCTGAACTTCTTTCCTACGACGAACCCGTCGCAAAGTGGTGTGGTCTATTGTCACAACTATAGTATATGGTGTGACTTTTCTTCTCGATAGATCCTTGTCCAGTCCATCGAATTCCTTGAAGGGCAGTGATGTCAATTCTATAACACTATTTTTCTAAGAGCAGTTTAGTTGCTCCGGGTCTGTATAGGGTTAAAAAATTCTATGATCCAAAGGTGAAGTCCAAACAACGGGTGCTATGTCATTTCCTAGTAGACAGTCCGGCTTGTTGATGCTGAGGTTTCGAGATAGTGTTTTTAAGGAAGATGGGTTATCGGCCCATAACCCCGAGTCAGGTAAAGGGGCTGCCTCCTTAGAGCACCATGACGCGCTCTCCCATCCGGGGCAGCTTTCTAGTTAAGGTGATCCTAGGGTGTGTACTGTGAGTGACCTTAGTCGGTAGTGTGGGGGTGATTGTAGTGTGCTGTTGATAGTATATATGTGTGGGTGTCAGTGTACTGTTCCCCCAACCTGGAGGGCCAGTGGCTGTCTGCAGTACAATGACCGGGTGATGGGTCCGCCACCTCCCTACGCCAATATCAATATCAAATTTTTAATCATAAATTACATAAAAATATAAAAAATCATATTTTCCATGTGTCTGTAGGTGCAATAATCAGACATATTCTATACAATATATATTCTTAAGTTTAGGAAAAAATTCTATGACGAAGGTAAGAAACATAATAATTAAACAACATTAAACTTATGTCTTTATTAACACATATCTCACTTTTTCAAAGTTTTTTTTACAATATATATATGTATTACTTAATAACTATATCTAAACATTTTCATCTGAAATTCAACAATGAAAATATATTTTTCTAATCATCAGATTCTATCATATATTTTGGTGAATATCACAGTAAGAACTTCTATACTTCTTAATAAATGAGGTGATGTAGTAATAAAAAGATGGAATACTGACTCGATAAAATTAAAGTAAGGAACTGGATAAAAAAAAAAATACAATTAGGAATAAAGTGAGTCAAATGATTTTTTTTTTTAAGAAGCGAAACAAGAAGAGAGCATTGATAACAATACAACAAAGGACAATACATAAATTTTAACTATATAAAAGTCAATAACAATCACAAGTTTTGTATTAGTTGGCACACTTTTTATATTTATCACTTTTTTTTTTTTTTGTCTCTTTTAAATATGTTCGACAATAATCATAAACTTATAAGTCGATCAACTATGTAAATATGTAAAAAAGTATAAAATTTACGTGTGATTCTTATTAAACTAAGAAAAAACAAAATAACATAATAGTTAAAAGGAGAATCCCTGTAATAAAATTTCAAACCCGGAATGATAGCAATACAAAATCAGTACATCTTTAGACACTCATAGCAAGTAATAGTTTCCGGGTGAAAAAAATAAATGAATGCAATAATTAAAAAGGACAAAAGTTTACAAAGATAAATACGGACGGAGATGACATAAAATTTATATTATTATTCTGGCACTCCCTCAAGATTCCATACATCGAAAGAATAAGTGCAGTAATATTCAAGGCAAATCACAATTAAAGAGTAAATTAAAATTATTCTAAATATACATATCACGCATTCAAAATAGAAATATCAGCTTACACATAAGCATTAATGTTTTTCAACTAATAATATATATAAAAATATCACAAAAAGAATAAAACAAAATTAGGAAACAAGTTGTCAGGAAGAGTGGCTTACATATTAAAATTATAAACTAGTAGTAAAAAATAAATTTTAACACAATTTAGGTAACTTATCATTGCAGAGGCCATGCCAATGATTAGTCACGTTTAAGACACACATACCTCATTCATATAATTCACGTGGAAAGAGAATGCGATAATACGAAGAAGTAGAATTTTATAACAGAAGCATCTGAAATTTATTATCTATTTAAGTTTATGGTTTTAAAATATTAAGTCAAACATTTCCCTAGTCAATACTTTTTTGTTTTAAAAAAAAAGTTAATCCTCACTTTTTTGATCATTGAATATTGAATAGTACTGTGACAGGTTTCCATGAAAAAATAAATTGATATTACAATAAATATTAAAACTGAAAAACTTAAATTTCCTTTTTATGACACTCTTTTTCCAAGTATAACCATTGTTAGCTAGATACCATCATTTTTGAAAAAGGCTTAAGCACCAAAACACAAAAATTAGATTTTAATTTACTATAGGTCTTAAATTTATAAATAATAACATATTGTAAGCATAAAAGTTTTGCCATCTTAAAACTCCTACTGAATAAAAATTTTAAAAATAAAACAAATTAATGTTTTGAATGCACAATGAGATGGTTCATTATGGACAAGTTTCTAAATACAGCACTGAGTTAATTGGTGGGATCGGATCACCTCTAAATCGGACAAAACGATGCCACCGATAAAATCAGAACTGAATTTAAAAACTTGCAATACCCTATTTCTATAGAGCACACCTAAGCATGAAATTACACTTATAAGTTAAACATTATTTGGAGAATAAAGCATTTTTGTTTTTTCTGTCATTTTTACTAAATCGCTCTTAAGCCTTCTTTAAAAACGATATCGATAAAGTTTTATTAGATTACAACTGATTTAAGATTTCTGTCAAGTAGAATCTTCTTCAGAAAAGATTTTGGCTATAGATAAAATTAAAGTAAAACGTAAATTGCCAAAGCCTCTACAATCAACTGGTACCAAAAGTAATAAAATTAAGAAAAATAAATAAAATACTTTGGGAGTAAATTAATACAATTCTTCTTTATTTCATTATTTTCTATTTTTCAAAATTTATTACTGGTTGATTATAAAGCAAGGAGAGTAAATGTAATTATGTAAGTATAATTCATGGTACTCTCAAAATTTAATATCAATTAAAATTGATGCAAGATTATTAAATGTAATATTAGTATAGTGAGTTCAGTTCAGGTGTGAAAGTTAATTTATTTAAATAAACCCTCAATTTTTAAAAATGATAATAAAGAGAACTATAGCAGAAACAAAGAGAACGAGTTTTAGAAAAAATCAGTAGTTAGCAATCTGGCTAAAAATATTCATAAATTGGAATTATTTTTAAAGAAATAGTAGGCATTAGCACTTGGAAAGACAACAAAAATTAATAAAAAGTTATTATTTTTGATTGGAATTTTTATTGCACCATAGGTACGAAACATAAGCCAAAATTTAATCTCTAAAACAAATTTCTAAAATAATTATAAGTCCAAAAATGGCCTTATTTTGTAGTAGTTTTTAGTAACTCTAACCAATTTTGTATAATATTTTAGTATTTAGAAAAATAAAATTTTCATATCTTTAATGCGAAAAAAAAAGTATACTGAGGTTTTTTTTTTTTTCCTATTGAATTTAAGACTATCTGATCTGAAGATGTGGCAACAAAACATTTTAATAAAAAAGAATTGTATTCCCTTATTCCCAGAGGAAATTATAATTATTCTTCAAGTTAAGAGACAATTTAGAGAAAAATAAAGATCATAATTATATCACAATTAAAGTACACTGACTTTTAGAATATAATTGGAAAATTCAAAACACAAAACCTTGAGTAACCAACATGAACAGGTGACCCAACAACCAGTTAAGATATCATCAGTACAGATAAAAATAGATCACATATATATGTTGACCAAATACATCTCACAGCTCGCATCAAGTCAACAAAAATACTATATTTACTGAGACTATACATCACACCTAAGTCACCAAACATAACTGAAGGAAAAGGGAGGCTAAATAACAGCTGATAAGTTAGTTACTAGAGGGAGGCTAAATAACAGCTGATAAGTTATAGAAACAAAAAAGATGTTATTTTTAGAACATATGTTAGATGTGCTGTCAGCAAGTCAACTGTTCACATGTATGTTCGAGACTCAAGGATTCGTGTTTCGAATCTTGCAATTATATTATAACAATTATTTATATCTCTGTGTGAGTCTTTTGCTCCTTTTTATTAATATACCGATTATATCAATAAAAAATAAAAAATAAAAAAAACATACATAAGTGAGCAAAAGCAACTGAATATAAAACTTTGACTATCATTAAAGCACTGCGTGACCCTTGGACTGTTATTAAGTTGTCAACATTCAATTTATATTTAAAAGTATTGTATTATTATGGTTTAGAAGTAGAAGGAAAGGCTTTATCATCCAATGGAGTGGAAGATTCTAATTCGGGAAATATTCGGGTTAACACAAAAAAGGCTACGTCGTAGTTACTCCAGTAGGCAGTATGGGAGACGAGTACTGAGCGAACGACGAGAGGACCAGACGTACCGCTAGTTAGAACATAGTCCAGCCTGTGTTCAAGCCCTGGAAAATTAAATGCATCAATGAAAATGTGTTATTCATTAAACTCAGCTAAATCTACTATCACACTACATATAATAGGGTAGTATAGATTATTTTTCCAGCTCTCAAAAGCAATAGATTTTGGCGAAGGATTGGTGAGGCACCAAATGAAGCGGAATTTCATTTAGAAGTCACAAATCCCAATCTTGATCCTGCAATTCCTACAAATTTGGTAAAAGTCATTGAAAAAATTGTAAGGCATTAAAAATTCAATGAATCAAGACAGGATTAATTGTGTTTTGAAGATTTTGATGTAGAAAAACCAAGCTCTGCATTTTAACCACAAAATGTTCCATTTTCAAGATGAATTTTGATTCTTGCCTCTTAAACGGACCTTACACGTTTATTCGGAATGGCATTTCGAGGCACTATTGTAAGGTTATGATTGAAGTACTGATGGACGAAACTGACAGATTTCCAAAATCCGGAAATCAAAGGTTCAATCACGAGAAGTGGAGGGAAGACTGAAGTAAAAATCATGGAGAAACTAACCTCACTAGATAGATAGCCTCATATCCATTGTACATTTCTGATTTACATTAAAAGTAAAAAGTTTTTTATACATCTGATTTAGATTTTTATAAAGCATCTTGAACTATTTTTTTTAATAGTCAAGTGGGCAAAAAGAAAAAAAAATTGGAAACTTCACAATTTACTTAAAGAAAAAATTAATCTTTAATTGTTGAGTATATTTATCATTTCTTTTTCCATTTTTCTCAACAAATTTATTATTTTCGCAATACTTTTCTTTAATTTTTCTAAGTAGTTGACTTATATTTTCTCTAATTTTTGTCAAAACGATTTTCAGGCACTAGGGAGTAATTATTACAACTCCATTTTTTCTTTTGATGTCCAATTCTACATAGGATAATGGCCAAATATTTTTTTTTTTAATAAAACACATTATTATAAATTGACAAATGCACCACATCCACGCTGCCAGTTACCTCAACGTCAATTGAGCTAAAATGTGTCAGTCTGATTGATACCTGTAAGGGTCATCATGATTGAAGCAATCCTTGTCAGTCATTTGACTGTAATTCAAGACTTATTAAGTAGAGTCTGCTTTAGATGCTATCGTTGCAATGGGATACTTATCACATTTTTTTTATATTTTAGAAATTAAAATAATGCTATCTATGATATTCTACGATGAACTATGATGAATTTCAAGGAAGTGATTAATTCCAATTTAAATCCTTAAATGTGTATCACATTTGCATAAAAGTCATTAAAAAAATTAGGAGGTTTCAAAGCAAAAAAATATAAGTCACACTATTAGATGATATCGTCAAGAAACCTTCATGTTCGCTAAGCCTTATTATAATAATTTCATTATAAAACCAACAGCCGGCAGAACATGATATTTATAAAATAAAATACTGGTAGATACCCTGAGTTGGAGAATCAGTGCGGTGCGAGGCTCCACTGCTGTCCAGGCTTCTGTTATGACCACGAATTAATGAATTCCAAAGGCTCCAACCTTTTTCTATAAAATTTATCAGAGTTCATAATAAAATATTTTTAATTAATAAAGGTTTAAAACAGAGTATATAATTTATTAACACTTATTTAATATTGACCTATAAAAAATATTGACCTTTACTGGGTGTTTCAACGGGAGAACTAGATGGCTCGACTTCCCCTTCTTTTTCTTTTGAATTTCCACAACTAGAGCTGATGACGGCTTCCGGTGGGATCAGTTCGAGAGGCATATCACAATACGCAATAGGATTAATAGCAGCATATGGGTGTATAGCCAAAGGTGAGATTCTAGAGTAATCACGGTGTACTAATGGCTCCAGTCTGCAGAAGTGATAGAGCTTAATTAAATTGGAATTGATTTTTCTATAGTAGATCAGGATATTTGTATATCAATGACAGTCTCTATATTTATTTAAAAATTACTTTATTTCTAGAGAAACTTTCGGTGATCTGCACAATTCACTATTCATCTCTACAATAGAACACATTTCAATCAATAATAATTTTAATAATTTATTTATTTAGATATATAATATTCTTTCTCATTGACAATAATTATAGTGATAAATGAACACAATCACACCATATATACAGAAAATACAATTTTTTTAATAATTAACAGTACATGATGTTACATACTTAAAAAAGAAAAAAATATAGGTAATTGTCATGCAATTATTTTTATTCTCACGCCGTACCTCATTCTCATATTTTACTATTTAAAACCATAGCAGATTGAAACAGATTTTGTCTAAAATTTTTATTAAATTAAGATTAGTTGTTAATTAAGTAAATTGAAATAAAATTAATTTTATTTACTGTCTTATTTAGAGATGAGTTCCTCATTGTTCGACATCACTTTACTGAATGCTGAACCATTACTATCAGCACCATCTATATTGCATACCAATTTAGCAACTAAAAATTACCCAAGTTCCTATTTTTTCAACAATATTTTTATGGTTGGCTATTATTTGCGAGTAATGTCGTATATATGAGCCGTTTCCTGCTTTGAATTTAGCACCTTATTTTGGTTTATTGCGATATATAGGAACTTGGGTAATTTTTAGTTGCTAAATTGGTATGCAATGTAGATGGTGCTGATAGTAATGGTTCAGCATTCAGTAAAATAATACAAAAACAAGGAGGAGCCCTCTTCTCCAAGTAAGTCAGTAAATAAAATTTATTCAATTTCAATTTACTTAATTAATAACTAATTTTAATTCAAAACAATTTTTATACAAAATATGAGATGAAGAACAAACTCTGTTCCAATCTACTAAGGTTTTAAATAGTAAAATAAGATATTAAGGTACAGTGTGAGAATGAAAATAATTGCATGACAAATATATATATATTTTTCAAGAAGTATGAAACAGCATGAACTGTTAATTGTTGAAATTAGTATTGACTGAAATGCGTTATATTAGAGAGATGAATATGGTTTAAAGCTTCTCTAGAAATAAAGTAATTTTTAAATAAATATAGAGACTGTCATTGGTATACAAATATCCTGATCTACTAAAACATATAATACAGTCTAAAATTACCTGCATAATGATTTTTTTTTTTTTTTCAATACTGGTTAAATTTTGTAAATCATATTACAATACAAGTTATATAATTATTTTTTGGAAAAATTGTTGATCATATTACAGAAAACTTATGTTCTAAATTTCTAATTTTTCTTCTAAGTTCTAATTTTTCTCAAGTATATTTTAAAATATTGGGTTAGCAAATAAGATCTTTCAATTTTTCAGAGTGAAATAGAATCGGTGAATTATAGACATTTTTTTTTTTTTTTTATAATTGAAATTTAAAACTGCATTAAATGATAAATACAATAAGTAAATACGATCAAGTAACATGACATGTACAACATGAAGAGAAACTACCCATTGGAAGCACTCCAATTATATTTCTATATTAGAAGGTCCCGAAGCCATCTTCTTTTCAGACGCCTCGGAGGGTTATCAGGAATAGAAGAGGAAGCAAGGGTGGAAACAAGAAGGTTCGGATGGTTCATAAGTTTATTATGGAAGGACAGGTATCTGGATTGAGCTGAATCGGAAACATATGGTATATTAAGGTCATTATGGATGATTTTATTTGTGACAAAGTAGGGAGCATTAAGGATTTTATAAAGGATTTTGGATTGTAGGGATTGGATACGAGAGGAATTTGATGGTTTAGTAGAACCCTAAAGCTCGATCCCATAAGTCCAAATAGGCCTTATTATAGTAATATATATGAGACTTTTGTAAATAGTTGGAAGTAATAGGATACACGTTTCATCAGCATAGGTGGTGATGACAGTGTGGGAATGGGTTGGGATGTCAGCTATATAAAATGCGTAAAAGATAGAACCTAGGATACTACCTTGAGGAACACCAGCGAACTGAGAAAAAAAGAGATGAATAAGCATTCTTATGATTTACTTTGAGGAATCTGTCAGTAAGGTAGATCATGGACATAAAATTTATTTTAATCCACAATGCATTGAGCATTATTTAGTATGGCCTGTTATAATTTTTTCAAAAATTGTTTAGTGCTAAATTTATAGAACGTCTAGGGTTCAGTGCTCACAAACTGATCTAAATGTTTTTTAAAATCCTATTCGTTAAGGAACTACTTTCGATTCATGTAGTACAGAAGAAATCAGCATAAGTGATAGTTGCTTGGAGCTAGATCTGGTTAATACGGTTAATTGGAAGGGGATCCCATCCAAAGCTTAATAATTTATTGTGAGTAACCAATGGGGTCTAGCCTTGTCTTGATGAAAAACAACACCCTTTCTTCCTATTTGCCAGTTCTGGGCATTTGTTTCAATTTGATTGATCCAATTTTGTTAATTGTGAGCAGTATATAATTGAATAAATTGTAACTTCTGATGGAAATTTTTATTTTATTTTTCTGAAGCGGTGATTTTGCAATATTGCGATCCTATTGCTCACCTGCTTTCATTAATATATCTTTAAGCTATGCATATACCTGTTTTATTACTTAGGCTTCATTTATTCTTTTATGTATTAGATCTTTTGGCCAGATTTAATGCTAATCTGTATGAATATTATAGTTATGTTATATGTCTTAAGGGACATTGTCCTAGAATAAAGTTGATATTTTTATTTCTATTTCCAAATGGTTGCTTACAGGTTAGAAATAGGATAAACTAAAACCCACCTTAGATATTAATTCTCCAGATAAGAAGTGTTATAAAAATAATAGAAAAACTGAGAGGGTTTATTTGCCAACCCAATATTTGCAATAAATGATTCAGAAGAAAACAATAACATTCATTGGAACAAATTATAAAATAACAGAATGTTTCCTAGCATGCATTATTATAATGAGGATTCTAGGAATCACAAGCTATAAATACGTTGAAGGCCAATTTTAGAATCAGAAATATTGTGATATACGCAGATGAGTTTTAAAAAAAACAGTATCCTGCATGCTATGGCCAACAAAGTGCCGAGGAAGAAATGATAATGCCACAAATAAAGCATTAGGAATAACTTAAATATGGGCTCCAGACCTACAAGATACCAAACCGCAGGAATCAATCTAATACATGTTGCAAGCTGGTATTGATGTATTTTGCTGCTATTGATATATTATGATGCCTTAGAAATAAAACATACATAAAAAAAGCACAGAAGTGTCACTATTCAACAACATATATAGCTTCAATGTCCCAAAGAATTTCAAAATTTATTATTAGTCTTTACCATAAGTGAATTTGTGTTACAGACCCCTTTTTATCAAATTATTAACATCCACCTGAAACTTCCTAAATAGCTTCATGTTATCGTAATCTACAAATATTGTACTTAAAAAAATATCGGAAGTGGGGTGTTTTCAATCTGGAAGTCGGCAAACTTTGTCTATTTAATTATATACTAAAATGTCATAAATACCCATTTGCTTTCCACTTGGATTGTAAGATAATTTGATCATAAAATTGATAAAAAAGATGATCTAAAAAAATATTGGGCCGTTTAGCCTATATAACCTCGCTATTTTGACAATATGGGAGTGTAGGTCACGCCAAACGGTTCAATATTTTTGAAGATCACTTTTTTTCTCGACTTTGTGCTCAAGTTATATTACAATTAAAGTGAAAAACAAATGGGTATTTATGAGTTTTCAGTACCTAATTAAATTGACAAAGTCTGCCGACCTCCAGATTGAAAACCTCCAGATTCTGAGAATTTTCGTAAATAAAATATTTGTAAGTTACGATGAGGATAAGCTATTTATGTAGTTTCAGGCGGATGTTAATGATTTGATAAAAAGGGGTCTGTAATACAGACTATATTGAGGTGCATTAATTTTTGGAATTTGGCAAAGGCTTTTAAAATTTTATTAAGAAAGATCAATGTAATTTTGTCATTCAATAATAATTTTGAGTTATACTATGGGGCTATCGCCTATATAAAGGTTCCTCAAACTGGGTTATATGGAACCCAGGAGGGTGTCATAAGAGTATGCCAAAGATGGCGTGGTAATAATATTTAATTTCAATATTAAATAATAAGGGACACCTCCCCTCCTCCATTTTCAATACATTGGTTGTACCAAATTCTCATGTTTCTCATCATTCTCTTAAGCAAGACACTTACAAAACCATCTATATAAATTTTAACTATTTTCAGTGGCCATCTGGGCCAAAGAACATGTTTTTAAAACTAGTATGTTTCATGATAACGAGGAGTTTTGCTAACACTCTGGTCAAAAATGTTCAACATGTTAGAACGTTTTAGTCAACAATTTACCAAGAGCCTGTTTACAGGGTCAATTTCTTTTCATAAAAGTTTGAGTGTGTTTAAGACTTTGATCGAAAAACTCCTAAGATTCCATGATTCTATTCTTCAAAAAACCAGCTCTTTGTAACTTCGCTCATTTTCCTCCACTTCGACTACTGTTGCTTGGTATATGGAGGGCTGTCTGAAAGACTGGAGGTGAAATTGAAGAGATTTATGAACTGTTTTATAAGATTCATATTTCGAATTCACAGGGGTTCTCATGTTTCCTAATAGTACACCGAGTTGAAGTAGCTCTATTCTATCTCCCGACGACAATTCCTTCTTGATGTTTTCCTTTTCCAGGTTCTCGCTGCCTACATCCTGAAACTTCTTACTCTACGTTCCTCTATCCATTCTCTTAATACCACATTTCAACCTATTAATTTATATATCTCTTTGAAGTTTCGTAATAAGGCACTTTAGGGAGGGTGGGTTATCAGGCCACTGCCCCCGAGTCAGGTAGAGGGGGTGCCTGAGAAGTAGGTCTCGCAAAGAACTGATTCTATACAAGACCCTTGTAAGGCCTGTTTTGACATATGGCTCAGAGGCTTGGACGATGACGAAAAGTGATGAGATGAAGCTGAGTGTGTTTGAGTGAGGAGTCCTCAGAAGGATTTATGGTCCAGTAAAGGAGGGTGATGTCTGGAGGAAAAGAAAAAATAGGGAGCTCAGTTCTCTTTATACAGACATCGACGTAGTCACGTATATTTCATTTACAAACTTCCGTATCTATGTAATACTTATTGGATTCTGTAATAACATACATTACGATACTGTTCACTGACAATTAATCGACAAGTTCCACTTAATTTTATTTAATTTATTTATCATTTTCTTTTTAAACACGTGAACCATATAAAATGTGCTAGTGTTACTTTGTTTACTGTATTGTTCAAGTGTGATTGCAATAGCAATTGAAATTAACATTCGAACGGCAAGAACCTCTTTCTATTTTGTCAAGCCAGACTAATGGACCAATGTTTTGTATCGCAATATTATTATCATTCTTAGGAGACTTTAGTCTCAAAATAAAATTATTTTTTAATTTCATTTTACATCACAATACAACAGATTCTCTTTGATGAGCCTTCATCAGAAAGAGACGCATTATAAAATATACCACGTGTCCTTTCAAAATCAAAATAAATTTTAAACAGACCTGTAGGCAACTGGATCGGTGAGATGGAAAATATTATACAGTCTGTTACACAACGTTGGAGGAAACAAATGGTAACCATGGTGGCCTTTGGGAACTCTCAGGGCTAGGAATACAGACAGAGGTGAGCCAAGACAGAAAAAATTGTCTATCTGCAAAAATAAATGCTACAAGTTAATACAAAGAAACATTTAAGACAAATTATTATGTAAAAGGTGATCGAATATTAACCATAATAAAATAGTGAAAACTAATAAGATTAAAAAAAATTTGTAGTGAAATTGTATAGCACAGGTGACTCTTGATAACTTGATGTTATTGCTTCAATTAAATTCTTTTAGCAACCAGGTTTCCTTAAAATACAGTCAAACCTTAGCACATCAAACCTAAAGGTTCTTTGAAAAAAAATTCAATACATAGAAAAATTGTTGAAGGAAGTTAGTCAACTGTTCTACATATCATGGATGATAGATATTCAGGACGCAGTCTTTTTTAAATTTTTTTATTTTTGCCAACGTTTCAACCCAAACATGTGGGTCATCTTCAGGGCTGAAAATGTTTTTTAAAATTACAATCAGAGATATAATAGTATACGACCGCTAATTATAAATAATAAACTATAGTGATTGATGGCACATGAATCTTAACTCATATTGTAATACACATATTAAAATTAAATATTAAAATAGTTATACAAACTAAAAATAAAAAATAAAAAAAATTATGTATATAATCTATTTATACAAATTTGTAATATTTTCTCTAACTAACCGTGGTTTGAGCACTGAGGGTGTTCAAGTACTGACACATGTTTGGTAGGTAAGTAAAAGGTTCTGGGGTGGTTTATCAGTTAAGATTCATGTACCATCAATCACTATAGTTTATTATTTATAATTAGCGGTCGTATTCTATTATATCTCTGATTGTAATTTTAAAAAACATTTTCAGCCCTGAAGATGACCCACATGTTTGAATATTTATCACCCGTAATATAGAAAAATTGCTATTTATCATTCCTGTCATACTTTTAAAATTTCATTTCGATAGGATTAAAGAATTATAAAAGGAAATTTTTCAGGGTACATCTCTTCGGTGACTTTATTAAACTTAAAGAACTTAATCTGATCTACTTCAAAACATTCAATTTTAATAATCAAATCATAATTTTTAAAAATTTGTTGAAACTGTACGTAAAACTTCATATTTGTTCTATTACATCTTTTTTTTTGTTATGCCTTTTACGTCTTTGAAGCTTTTAGTACTTTATCATTTTCATTTATTTTACATAAACAAAATATATATTTTATCATGAGCCGATTATATATTGATTTATATGGAAATTTGAATTGGAAAGGTACTGTTGTATTGTGCTTGATATTACATGATAAGAACAAGCGCATGCATAAAGAAAAAATTAATAAATTACAAGCAAAGAAATTAATAAAAAATATTACTAAGAACTAATAATAAATTAAACAAACTCTTACTTCGAAATTCAATCTTGATTTACCAGGATTTATCACACCATCCATTGGCATACCCTGCAAAATAATAAAAGTATTAAAAATTAAATAAATACATAATATATCTTACTTGTAATATACCACTTACATATCCATTTGTCGAAAATGTACAGACCGGCAGATGCTGCTAGGAAACATATTGTATATCTTTCAAAGAAATATATAACAATGAATTATGTACTTAGGCGCAAATATAACTACATATGATCTTTCCTCTAGTTTTGATTTGAAAATTTTATCACATAAATATTTTAAATTTTAAGTTTAGACACAATTAATTAAAATGAAACTCACCGTTGGAAGCCATCCAGTTACAATATCATACGTAATGACTGCTCCTAATGAATGTGCTATCACAGATACCTTAGGAATAATTTTAGGGTTCCTTTCTCTGAACATCGTATACAATCTATTCATTTCGGTAACTAAACCTTCTTGTATTTCACCCATATAGATCGGGCTAGTATAATACATAATATCCATCGCTGATGTATTCAGTACTTGTCTCAAATACTTCACATGAGGAGGCGTGATCGCTTCGACAGTTCCTGTACAAATAAATTGATAAAAAATAAATGTATGTTAGATTTGAAGTATAAAATTTAAGAAACCAAAAGATATGAAATTTAAGAGAAAGATACTTACCTCCATCTAAGACTAAGTTATTTCTCCATTCGACAGGAAAGAATTCCACACGCTTGGTACAATCAGGAAAAAATTTGTTTTTTAAAGAAGTTACTCTTTCTCTTATACTGAAAAAAATGTATAAATATTAGTCTTTATTATGAATTTGAGGATAATTTAACTTATTGCTGGTATTAAAATGAACCTGTAAGTATTACGAAATATTTGTGCGCCAATATTCATCTTCTGCCCGATTCCGTGAACGACAAATACAAGATGGGAAATATCATGTTGTTTATCAGCATCAGTCGCAATGTCTTTAAAACCTCTAAATATTCTAGTACCAGTAGCTGAAATAGATATAATTTATCAAGACGAGATGAGAAAATTATATCACTGGATAAAAAAGAGAAGCAGAGTCTTATACTTACACTTTTGAAAATAGCCCAACTTTTGCGTAAAACTTCTCACTATTTTTGAAGGTGTACCATGGCTATACAAATATATTTCTAAAGGGGAATACCAGTCCACATTGAAATCCACAAATGCTTCAGAATGAACTAAAACAATAAATAAGTTCAAAGTATTAGGTTATTACAAATCTTTGTGCCTAAAATAAGTTTTACTTGAATTTAAGTATGAGTTTCACCCATTGAAATTGTTTTTTAAGATATAGGCCACCATTATCAATTATTTTAATTCATTTTTTGACAATAAATTGAATTAAGCAGTGAAACTAGTACTTGGTTTTCACTGCCAAAAAACTCCTTATATCGCGATATCCACATTGATTCTTTATACCTATATTTTAAAGTATATCATTTGTCATTTGACACTATGATATATAGAAGAAGCAGTTTTCGAAGTATAGTTTTGTCAAGAAAAAAAAAAAAAAAAATGTCTAAGTGGAAGAACTAAACATGCTTTGAAAAAAAAACAATATTGGACCATATGGATGCCTACTCTCACAATCTCCAAAAATTTCTTCAAATCAAATTAATGACAGTAGGAGTTATGCCTTTTATATAGATTAAACTACAGAAAGATATCCAGTATTAAAACTTGCTAGCTTGTTAAACAAGGTAAATGGTTCTATAATTATGGATTGATGGTTGACTGTGGAGAATAATTGAAGAGAAGTATGTTTGGGGTGATCAGTTAAAATAAAAATAGCAAAAATAAATAATAATATTTATTTTTACATTATAAATAATGGGAAAAGAATAATAAGTTCGATAAATTCAACCCTATGGAGGAAAGAACTAAGATTAGAAACAAAAAAAAAGATATACCATTCCTTTGTAGAAAGCGTAGCCACTTAAGGATCAGAAGTCTGGACACTGACAAAAAAGATGGAAAATAAGTTGCTTTCCATGGAAATGGATTTCTGGAGAAGAAGCTGTGGCATATCCAGAATCGAGCGGATCCCAAACGCAGCAATTAGAGAAAAGGTCGGATGTCAAAAGAACATCCTTCACCTGATCGGGACCAAACGGTTAAAGTGGTATGGCCACTTAATGCGGATGGATGAGAACCGCTGGCCAAAGAAAATTTATAACTATGTGCCACCTGAAAGAAGGAAGAGTGGAAGGCCAAAGAAGAAATGGATAGAGGACGTGGAGGAAAGCATGGCAGCCAGAGGGCTTCGTGAGGGGGATTGGATGGACAGGGAGCAGTGGCTTTTGGGTATTGGGGATATGATTCCTTGAGCTGTATAAAACCCAAATAAAAAAAAAAAAAATTTTTACATTAGCCAACGTTTCGGCCCTAAGTTCAGGGCTTCATCAGGGCTAAGAAAAGAACCAGATAACAATAGGTATGAGAAAAAAATAAACATTGGATAATAAAGAATTAAAATTAAAAAATGTGAAAGCTATAGACTAAAAAATTTAGGTAGAAAAAACTTAAAGTTAAAGGAAGTAGATACAGTGAACATTAAAGTAAAATAAAGTACGCAGAATGATAACAGTAACAAAGCACAGACCAATGTGGACCTGTAATGTACGATCCATCTGTATCAGATTGACTGAAAAAGGGAACTTAAGCACAGGAAACGTATATATTGGACAAGAGAGATATAATATATAAATTCTATGAGTTACTTAAATAAAAGTTTAATTGAAAGAGGATGAAAATAATGCAGAGCTAGTATAAAACAGAGATAATAACAATTAAATAACAATAGAGTATCAATGAAATAAACGTAAAACGTGAGATTAAAGAAAATGAAAGGGACGTAGGCAAGGATAGAAGTTTTGTCAAAATCAAAAGTATGGTTTAGTGAGAATGTTCGGATAATTTGGAGGCTAATCGGCTAATTTTGGAGGCTAATTCGGATAATTGTAAATGGTTCTAAATGGAGAAATTGCAATTATAAGAAAAACGAGTTTAACAATATGATGTGCCGACACTTTTTCCATTACATATGAAATTTAAATAGTAGTCATTTTAACTTTAGAAGATGGTTTAATAAAAAAAAAAAAAAATTCTCTACCACTTTGAGCCAAATCTAACGAGCAGTTCCTGAAATATAGAAGAGTCGAAGAAAACACATTAACATATGCATAAGGGAAAGTATTAGATGGATTTTGATAAAACTTATATCAGATGATCTAGACGCCATTTATTGAAAATATCACGTAAATCGGATGAATGGTAGTAGGTGATATACCTGTCATATGGATTTTACTACATAAAGACAGATATAGAACCAGTTTTGTTTCTTGCAATCAAAAACCATAAATGAGAAGTCGAAATTTTTTTAACCTCTCGAACAAATACAAAGCTTCCATACCTTGTGTGGTGAGAAAGTAAAAAACTCTAAGTGCAAAAAAGTCAGGAACTTACATCAAAACAGAGCATAATATTTTTTCCTAATCAATCTCAGCAACCTCTCCTATAGACCGTACAGTACTCTGCTGTTTTGATTTGATAAATTCTTTTTAAATATATTCTAAAATCTACCATATTTTGGATTTTGAAGCAAATTTTATATTTCAATTCGTTGTTCAACATGGGAGATTGACAAGTTTTATAGGTCTGATCTTGATCTTAAATAAAATTTTATTACTGATTATCACAGCATTTAGAACTCCTATTTTGGATGATAATACTCATTTTAATTTCCTAATAACAAATGACTTCATTTTCAATTTATTCAAATATCACAGTTCAGCTTTTTCAATCTTTTTATCTTATGAGAAGTCTATCCGATAAAGAGAATCGGAGAGATGACATTAATGCAAAAAAAACAATTTTCAAACAATGGATCAAGCAGATTTTGATATAAAAGGTCTTTAATTGAACATTAATAATACACAACCATATCATTAAGAAATCATAATTTAAATTTTTATTACTAAACCTTTGGTAGTGGTATCAGCCAGGAATTCTGAACACTTCTTTCCTAAAAATAATTGTAAGTGAACTGGTTCCAAATATTTTCCACATTCTTCATCTAAGGGTTGCCATGTGTCATAAAACCAAGTTCCACGAATCACAGTGTAATATTCACCTACAGACAAACATTCTTTTAATGAAAAACATTTATGGCACAATCAGTGTCCAAGAACAAAATTCAACTTACCAGGCCAATAAATGCTTGTGCAAGATCTAGATATTAAATCAACTTCATATAAATTTCCAAGAACCAAAACTTTAGCAGAAACGTTCTGCGACACATTTTCTTTAGTTGATTCGTCAACAAAGTTGTAAGCTACGTCCGATTTAGGGCTATGTTTTTTCGGTATGTTCTGTAATTCTACTGGTAAGCTCCTAAATATAGTTTCTATATTAATAGTATCATGTCCTCCAAAAGGAGTCCAGACTTTATTAGATGTTTTGTCTAGTTCTTTGTAAAACCAACGAACTTCAGGTACAGTCAAGACATCAATAATTTTATTTTTGTCAGCTTCGAGTTCTGGTAATTTCTCTTCTTTAGTGCTATTGGAACTGTTTCTTCGAGGAGAGGAGGAGGCACTTTCAAGCGTATGACAATCATCTAATGTCAAGTCATTATTGTCATTTTCTAAATTCATAGAATTAGCCCCTACTATAGTTATATTAGTTAGTTGTTCTTCAATTATGTTAGCAAGAGAGAAACTCTTGTTCCCGTTTGAATTGAACATGGTAGAATTCATTAGATACATAACCCAAGAACAACCTATTAAGATATAATCTAATGATCACAACTGATAATATGAGATAATTCAGTTACAGAAAGGCGCTTATCTCATTAACCTAATCAAATACTGAGAGGTTGGTCTAGTAAGATAATATATTATAAAAAAAGGGGGGTAAATGCATCATTTTCTAGTTGATGTAACTGCTACTGATGACACTATATTATTGTGGGAACATGTTGCGGTTAATTGAAATAAATATTTATAACGGATTCTTTATTGACTTATGGATTGACTGATATGCAGAAAAATAAACAATAACATTGTGAACACCCAACTACATATCTCAAACGATAACATAAACAATCATTGTGATGTACTGGAGAACTGACATTGAAGTCAGATGTTCGTTTTAAACAGCCAGAATAGATTAAAAGGAAGGTTATAATTTATTCATGCAATTTTAAGTCTTTCGTTATTATTTTTAAATAACAAAATATTATATAAATACTTCTATAATATTGTAAAATGTGAACGTATCTTAAATGTTTCAATCATGATTACATAAAATTACATTTGTCAAAATGGCCGCCGTCGCTGAATCACTTATTTTTCGCACCTGCAAACTTTCTTTAAATCAGGTATTTCTGTTCACAATTTTAAATAACTTTTCGTACCTTTTATTTTACTGAAATATAATCTGTTAAGATTCAATTTATTTTTAACTTTTTTGTCTGGCTTTATATTTTGCTATTTTATATTTTTAATTATCTAAAATATGTATTTTTTACCATATAAATCAAAATCACCTCGAATATTTATTTTATGTCGATTTTTTTGTTTGGTATTTCAACCCTGATCTGATAAATTGATAAAATCGACTTAATTTAATTACTTTTAATAACAGATTTAGTTCTTCCTAGGTGCGAAATGTTCAGTCGACTGCAGTACAGGCTGCTGCTGCCGCAGCTAAAAAGGAAAAACCAGAGAAGCTCAAAACATTCGCAGTGTACCGATGGAATCCAGATAAACCAGAACAAAAGCCTACCTTGCAGGAATACGAAGTTGACTTGAATTCGTAAGTTGTGTCATTTCACTTTTCATTTAAAATTCTTTTTGATTCCATTTGTAAAATCATTTATTTTTAGCTGTGGTCCGATGGTTCTCGATGCCTTAATCAAAATTAAGAATGAAATCGATCCGACTCTGACCTTTAGGAGGTCCTGCCGTGAAGGTATCTGTGGATCTTGTGCAATGAATATTGGTGGAGTTAACACCCTTGCATGCATTACGTAAGTATCAATTTGCTTTAATACTTTGTGACTTTCCTCTACAGATTGTAGATTGTTAATCTTAAATAATTTTTATTACAGTGAGATTGATCAGAACCCTTCGAAGCTTAAAATTTATCCATTGCCACATATGTATGTGATCAAAGATTTAGTGCCTGATTTGAACAATTTCTATGAACAGTATAGATCCATTCAACCTTATTTACAGAGAGAAGGTGATAAACCTGCTGGTGAAGTTCAGCTTTTGCAAAGTGTTGAGGATCGTCAGAAATTGGTGAGACAAAATTTTTATTTTTAATTTTAAAGTGCTATCAAAGAATTTGCCTTAGTTTTCCATATATATGTTTTATTTTATATTTTTCTCCATCATTGTGTTTAATAAGTTGACTGTTTTTAAAGAAAAACATTGTGTTGTCTTTATTTTTTCAAGATTTTAATGATAATTTCACGTTGATGAAATTAGAAAGTTTCACAATGTCATGAAATTGAGACATTTTTCTCTGACTCAATACAATATTATCTTTGACCTCTGTCTAGTGATTTAATTTCTAAAATATTTATATGTTATATAATTTTTATCTTTTTGCATCATTGAGTTAGCTTTTTTTTTTGCACCCAGCAAATAAAAAAAATAATGCTGAAGTTGGATCAGTTACATAACCTAGTTTCCTTTCCCCCATTTTCTAGTATTTAAGTGTAATTACTTATAATTGATTGCTGTTTTCCTTGTATTAACTACCTAATATACTTAATGTTTTAGCAAGACTTTAAAATATTAAATAAATCTCTTAATAAGTTCAAGGACTTTAGTAATTCTATTTTTATTTATTAAAATTTCAATGTTATATTGTAGAGAAGGTTGTTTTACTTAAAATTGTTTTAAATTACTTTTTTTTCTTTGAGCTTTTAATATCATTTTTATTGTAACTCACTAAATTATACTGTACAAGTTGAATTAAAAATCTAATATAATGTCAGAAAATGGCAAAAAATTTAAAATGACTTTCTATGAATTAATGTATCCAATTTTAACTTTATACTGATTGCAATCAATCTAGAAGATCCTATAGTTATTCATTATTTTTTTTATTCCTTTAATTATGGTTAGATTTTCTGATTGAAATCTTCATTGCCTTCTTACCAGGGCAAAAGAAACAGATAGAAAGTAAAAACAATATGGCTCACTGTTTTCATCAATGATTTTTGTTTTTATTTATTTTTATTTGTTGTGTACGTATGAAGTTGATCTTCATTTTATGAGCTTTTCAGTTGACAGAATGACAAACTCCAATTTTAACATTTTTTTATTATTAATTCTAGTGATATTTCTAGTGAAAAAATGTGTACTTTTATTCACAGTTCTATATTTCAAAACTGCAATCACCTCTTCTTTAATTAATTTACTCAGTCTTTACAGATATTATAAATTTTCCAACTAGAAATATCACTAAACTGATTTTACCCAAAAATGTTGAAATTGGAGTTAGGCATTCTGTCAATTAAAAGGCTCATATATTGTTTGTGCTGATGAAAACATTTATTTTTTTTCATTCAACGGGTGAAAAGAAATACTTAAGTTACCAGCCAACATATTATCTTATTTATATAATACCCTTATTATTTATAATATGATATTAGAACAGTAGAAAAATTAAATTTCACTTTCTAATTTAATATAGCTATTTAATGAATTGGTAGGAAGGTAATTAAAAAATTAGAAGTAAGGAAAGGAAATTGGTAATCAGAATATTGAGAGATTAGGGGACTACAAAATATTTTTAATGATCATGGTGGATCTATGATTTAAGATTGTGAAAGAAACGGAACACAGTGGATTAAACAATATCTTTTTATCAGAAGAAACAAGTTACGAATGAAAGGTACAGAGAGGCTAAAGCGATTAGCACTTTTTTATGAACATGGTTTTTTTTATTGAGATGCTCAGTTTAAATTTGGAATTAACAAATTCTTTATTTTATCAATCTATTTTTAACTTTGAATACTAAATTTGTGTTTTTTCCTTTGAAATTTAATATTGGCTCAATGCATGAACAAACGTTTCTTGAAATACAGTTGAACCACTTTTCTCTGAACCATAATTTTATTATAATAAAAATACTCTTTGCATCCCACGATTTTCACTTACCCTCCTCTAAGCAGAAATAAGTATTTTCAGACAAAGGGGAGGTGAAAGTAAAAATTATAGATGCTATATTTATTTATATTTCATTATGCGTATTTTTATTTGTTAAAGGATCTCCTTATATAAAAATTTTAATTATATCGCTGTGATCTATATAATTAAATATTAAATAACACCAGTGATAGCAATTATGAAAACCGCATATGTATATGTACATAATATTGTCGGAGTCCGTATTATATTAAGCTCATGTTATGTATAGAAGCCTGTTATAATCTTTTGGGTGCTCTCGTATTCCTTTGGTTCTTCCATTACAACTATTATCCGTTACAATCTCTTATTTCTCCTTTAGTTAATTATCAAATTCTTTCATATTTTATATTTAATTTTTTTTATATCAGAGATTAATGTGAAATAGCCAATTACTTAAAAAAAAAAAAAAAAATATATTGGTACTTTAGGAGGAAGCTAATATTGAAAAATATCCATTTAAGCTCTGTTAGATAACATCAATCAGAATAAAACCTACATTATATTAAAAACTGCTTAATTTTACACTGATATAATAAATTTAATCAAAATCGTTATAACCGTTTTCAAGAAAATTATTAAATCAATGGTATAAAGTATCACTTTCAGTTAGCCAATTTTGACAAAAGTTGCAATAACATCCCAGGCATGTACAAATCTTAAATATGCAATATCACTTTCGTTTTTGAGCTAAATTGTTAACACAGGCATACAAACACACACACACACACACACAGACTATTTTGTGGGACTTGGTTATTTGGACTCAGAGGACCTCAAAACGTGTATTTCCGTTGAAAACTGAAAAAAAAAATTTCACAATCGCAATACTTTCCTTTACCATTTATTTTGTACATAGTAATAGTAATTTTATATAAGTGAAAATAATACATAGATAAATAAAATGTGCCAATTTTTATATTTCAAACAAAAAATTTTGAAATTAAGTAAAATGTATAGATATATATTTGTGATGAATGAAAGATGCTACATACAAATAATATTAAAGGCTACTTGATTCCCAAAACAAATTATTTATTTATATTAATGGTACAAGTCATTATTAAATCATTGCTGTGCTCATATATACAACAAATTAAGAAGTATGATTATCAATTTATTATTATTTTTTTTTCTTAGGATGGTCTTTACGAATGCATCCTCTGTGCTTGCTGCAGCACATCGTGCCCTTCCTATTGGTGGAATGGAAACAGATATCTTGGCCCGGCTGTGCTAATGCAGGCTTATAGATGGGTCATCGACTCACGAGATCAAAAAACTCAAGAACGTTTGGAAAGGCTTAAGGATCCCTTTTCAGTCTTCAGGTGCCATACCATTCTCAACTGTACCAAAACTTGTCCAAAGGTTTGTTCATTATTTTATTTTACTTTATATGATTAATTAGGCGCCATTTAACAAAGTGGAACCAATCCACACTGCACATGTTTTGAATTACCTTGATTCAAAATTAATGATCTTAAATAATCTTTCTGTTTTTAAATAAGTATATTTTCTGTATTGTGACAGATTATTAGATTTTTTTTAGATTAAAATAGATAAAAAAATTAGATTTTTTCCACTCCGAGTTTTTGCTATTATTACCCAACTAGATTCAAACAACTAGGAGGGTAATATGTTAACTTATGCCTATTGTTAGTGTTTGATGATTTTTTTAGTGAATGGCTCTTCTTATTTTTAAATTTGATGGTTGAAATTAATCAGCGAGGTTCCAAGATTGTTTTGAAACAATTTTAGCTCAAAATATAAACAAATAATTTAAGCAAAAATGAGGGTAAGGCGAAGATTCATTTCTTGTGTCCACAACAAAATAAATTTTAATCATTTGACTCGAGAGGTTGTTTGGGTTACCATTACTCCTTGACACACTGGGCATCTGTGGCATATCTAATTATAGTGTCTCGAGTAGCAGTTACGTACAAATGATTTAAAAGAAATGGAAACAGTGCAAATAAAACATAAATGTAGACAATAAATAAGCGAATTTTCTTAAAAATGGAGTTTAAGTCCAAAACTGCAAAAATTGAAGGTTGAAGAAATAATGTGGTGAAGTTAAAACATTTGTATACATTATTGCAGAAACTTTATACACTATTTTGGTAAATAATAAAAAGGAAAAGTGCAAAACAGACCCAAATGAAAAAATATGGCGTGGTCCGTGCATCACATAACTTTCACTTACCACCCTACCTTAAGTAGAAATAGATATATTAATATATAGGAAAGCGAAAGTAAAATTTATAGACGATATAACATATTAATTTAAAACAATTAACTACCATACAAAGATAATGGTTGGGATTAAATTATCAAAGGAAATATTGATTAGAAACAATTTAAAAATATTAAAAAATAAGTACTTGTTGACAAGACCAATTAAAAAAAAAATGTTTAAATTAATAAAATGTAAAAGTGGACTAGGGAAAAATTCTAAGCTTTATCTTAATCATCTGCTATGTAAACATTGAAAAATTGAGTTAATTATGTTTGTATATATTATAAGATTATACATACATATTATACATAAAATTATGTGTAAGTGAAATATGTGAAAAGTTAAACTAACAATAAACAAAATTGGAAACGCATTTCTATTTCAATGCGACTGTACGCCCAGGCTAGGTTAAAGCGAAATTCTTTGATGATTAGGAAGCAAATTGCAAGAGTATTTTTATGTAGGCAATGTTGAAATTTTTGAAAGAAAAAATGTTGTTGTTAAGCTTAAAGAAGTTTTGTATAGTTCTATACTTTATATTATTGAGTAATTTCTTATAAGATTATTTTACACTCTTAATGATAGCAACTATTCAGTTATATAATTTATAATTAATAAAAGTATAATTTATCTATTCAATTTTTTTAAAGGGTCTGAATCCAGCTCGTGCGATCGCTGAAATGAAGAAGCTCGTTTCAGGTATTCAAAAGAGAGAAGAACCGAAAATGGCTGCTAGTGCTTGAACCCATAGTAAATCTTCTTTATAGTATGGCTTATAAAGCACAAATAACTGGTAATCAAATCATCTCAAAACATGAGTTCAAATTGAAGAGATCAAAAGTGTAATTTGGTTATGCCATATTTCAGTTCTATTGCCACACGTTATTATAATTTTTGTTTTTGTTTTAATTTTTATTGTGATCTCTACTTATTTTTTGTATTTATTTATTTTTTTCTTTTTATTTTCATTTGAATTTGTGTTAGTGTAAAGCTGTGTAACAATGTTGAGATAGTTTTATGTTAATGCCTTGTTAAGTTAAATATATTTTTCTGTGAAATGCTGTTATATTATTTATTTTGCTAATTATAAGTAGGCAATAATAACATTTCATTTTTGCCATCATGTATGATGATATTATAATTAAATTGTATTTATGACACGTTGAATGATGTTATTAAAATAAATTATTTTAAAATCAAGCAGTATTTTATTTTAACCTTGTTTTTTATTCCCATTAGTTATGTCTATATCAATATGTTCTGAGAAAAGGGTGAAATTCAACAAAATTTATTTATTTTATTTCATTCATTAATTGAAGGTCTATCAATTTATAAAAATAGTAAATATATAACTGTTATATTTTGATATCCCCTTCCTTGTAACTGACAAAAGCAACATAATTTTCTCAAAAACAAACATTTTCTCCAGAAAAATTGTGAATTGTTAGATTTGCTCTTTTTACATAACTCCAACAATACATTTAACAAAGAGTATGCTTATGTTTTTGAAAATATAAATATATAATTTTATTCTCTACTCGTGAGATTTTGTGCACTTGTTTAATACAAGAAGGCATACAAAGAATGATCGCTTTTGAAATTAATAAAATTTTCTTGATTTTTAACATAATTTTTTTATCTTTACACAAAAATTTGCAACTATTGGAAATTGTGAATGTTACAGTTTTTTCAGCTTTCTTCAAAAGTAGATACATATAATTATGTATACAGACACTAATATACTATCACAAAGATATCAATTTATCGAAAGTAGTTGTGTTTTGGTCTTTTTCCAAACTAATGATACATTAATTCTTTAGTTTATCCTATTTCAAACATATAATTTAAAATAACACACATTTATAGAAAGAAACTTCCAACATAGTACATCGTGGAGAGAAGAATTTACATGGGGAAAAGGAATTTAGGGGATGATTTCTCACTTTTAGTCTGCCTGCTTAGTATAAACGACCCCTAAATGAGCACATGAAATATATAAAATAGGCTGCCATTTAGAAGCAAATGACGTTTAACACTTAAGTGCCAAATCTCCACACAATCGGTCCAAAAGTCTCGCATAAAAGCTGCAGATGGTTTATGCAGGTTGCGGATTTTTACAAAATTTGATTTTTGGATTCTATTTGCAATTTTGAAATATAAAAAGGTAATCTACTCCTCAGAATATAAACCTAGAATGGAAGTATACATTAGTTGACTGGAAATCATTTTAGAAATCAATTATATTTAACAAAAAAATCTAGAACGGGCAGCCCAATGATGTAGATCTTTAGGTACCGAATTTGAATATTATTATGCTAGCTGCCTACAATAATATACCAACTACAACTAATTGTCTCGTTATAAGAAGAGTCCCATGGTTGAATGAAATATGTCAGGAAGATGTGAGGGCAAAAAACGGGCATTTAACATGTATAAAGGAAGTAGGAATCTAAAGGCTACAGTTGAATTCAAAAGACATAGAGCTATTGCAAATAGAACCAGTTCCATCAAAATATGGAACAAAATTAGATCTTTTCGCAGAATCAATAACAAAAAATATATATATTTGGCCTACAAATAGAAGGAAATATTTTAAAAAATCCATTAAGAATAGTAAAAGCGTTGGCCCGTCATTTTTGCAAACTTTTGGTTAGCTGCCCAGCAAAAAGGAACCAATGGACATAAGAAACCAAGAAGCAATGTCAAGGCTTCATATTCCATGTTAAAATGACTATTATGATCTATCTTTTAGACTGAAGAAAATGGAAGTATTAATTAAAAATTGTCATAGTAAATCAGCACAAAGTATATATAGAAATTTCATTTTCTAGTCACATCCTTCAGGTTTGGTGCCATTTTCTCATAATTTTTTTATATATATTTTATGCCAAAGGTCACCAAATATACACAGTTTTTTTTATCTCCTGTATTCTTTATTCTACGTTTCGGCTTCAGGAGCTATTTTCAAGATCCTGCAAAACTAATTTTAATTTAGTTTTTACAATTCAAATACATCCTTATCAGACATAAATATAAAATTAAAATTAAAAATAAATTTTGGACTATTTGTATTACTGATGGTTGTTAAATAATATGTGTCTGATAAGGATGTATTTGAATTGGAAAAACTAAATTAAAATTAGTTTTGCAGGATCTTGAAAATGGCTCCTGAAGCCGAAACGTAGAATAAAGAATACAGGAGATAAAAAAAAAATGTGTATATTTGGTGACCTTTGGCCTAAAATATATATAAAAAAATTTATATAGAAATTTCTTTTGAAATGATAAATCAATGGTCATTTAAAACTACATTATATTTACTACAATTGTACAATAACATCTTGGATGCTGGTGATATCAAGTTACAGAAAACCTCAGTAATCACTCCTTTCCCAAAAAAAAGATATTCGAACCACCTAAAAGACCTCCTTCCTATTTCATTGCTTAAAAAAAAAAGGTAAACAATAGACTAGTTCATTTTATGAAACGAAACAAACTATTTACTTCTCAACAATTCGGTTTCAGAAAAGGACATTCCACAACCAATAAAATTTGTTTACTGCAACATAAAGCTGAAGACAAATTTTCCCAAAAACAACTGGTTGCAATCTTATTGGACTTTGAAAAGGCTTACAATACCTTGTTGAGGAGATGTAATAAAGATCTTAAATAATTCTGGTGTTCGAGAGAAATTGAGGGCATGCATTAAAAAGTTTTTTAAAGGAAGAAAATTTCAAGTCAGAGTTGGTTCTTTTTCTTGTTATCAATCTGTTTCTCAAAACATCACTCCCCAAAGGCTCACCACTAAGTGTAACTGTTTTTGATCCAATAAATGATCTACCAAAGAGTTTCAAATGGCCCATTGAAATAATTATGTTAGCAAAAGACATATTGCTATTAGTTCATAGTAAATTTCTGGATTTTATTGAGTGGAATCTCCAATCCATTAAGAATTTTTTTTTTTTTTTCTTTATGACATTTACAACTGTATTACATAAATACATCAAGTAAATTTGGACATAATTGATATAATGACATGAATACACTTGCTGAGTAACTACCCAATGGTTGTACTCTAATGATATGACTACATTAGGAGATCATAAGGTCCATTAAGAAAAGCAGAAAAATGAAATAATGGCTTTAGTTTTTCAATAAATAAAATAAAAGCCATGGATATATTGCAGAATAAGAAAATGCTCAAAAAATTCTAAACTAGCATTAGGAATGGCCAACATCATGTTTGGGGATCAACAAAAATACCTTAGAATTATACTGGATAAATGCTTAAAGTGGACTGTTTCCTATTTTTGTGTAGTGGTTGTAGATGAAATGTCCTGATGAAGAACTACAATGTAGTTCGAAAGGTTCGCAAATATAATAAACAATACTGTGATATATAGTGTCTTTTTATGGCACTCTTGACAAACTTCTTAAATAAGAAAAAATGTATTAGATGGAAAGCTTCAAACAGAAAGTTAAGAAGGGCAGGAGTCATACTCTATCTCCTACGAATCAGGCCCTGCGAGTTTCCCATGGGTACTTCCTGTGAGAATTAGGAGCCTCAATGTGCACAAACTGCTAAATAACTAGAACATTGAAGCATATGTATCTAGAATGTAATAGCTACATGGATATGAGGCAGAATCTAAAGATAGAAACGAAAATAGAATGCCCCAGAATGTTGAAAAGTAATAAAGAAACAGTTTACATATTTAAAAAATGTATAATTCTACCACCAAATATAAAATTGAGATTTAATATACCAATGGCTCTTATGAATATAGGCAAAATAAATAAATAAAAGAGTTAAACTTTTTATCTTAACTCATTACCAGAGTTCATAAATAATACACCAAAATATATGTTGTAAAATTAGTTTTGCTTAAATTACTGCTAAATGAATTCTTGAATCATGATTATTCTGATATTGATAGAGATTTAATTTCTTGAGATTGAGCTTGTACAGTTTGATTATAAAAACAGATACAAATTTGATATTATCAATTGAAGCTGTACAGAAGGTTTATTGATAACAAAAAATGTTAAACAGATGATTTGAAATGCTTTTGAATCATGAAATACTCTATTCAAGATTTTTTTATAAAAATAATAGGAAAAACTTACCGTGTTTCTTTATATCTTCCAGGATTAAAATCCAATTTAGACTGAAATAACAAATTTTTTACAGAGTGAAATACAGTGCATTCAATAAGAGTAATTACATTCAATAATGGTTTATTCTTGGAACCATACCGAGATTGGTGAATTTATAATTGAAAAACTAATCTAATTTTGCTGTTCTTTGATATCATGTGATACTGTCAAATGAAGTAAGATATAGTTTAATAACCTACATTTATTTTCATGATCAAATTATTTTTATTTTTTAAATAATCATTTTGTTTTATTTAGTTTTCTATATTCTTCCAATGACTAATGTTCTCAATCTTAATCTATTAATATATTATCTATCTTTTTTAAATATTCGTCATTCAATATCATTTGAATGTTTGACACTTAAACTTAATTGATCAGTTTTAATTATAATCATTGGATAGTTTAATTATGAAATAATCATCTTAAATTAATAATTTCTTCATCAATGTCTTTAATAAAAAAGAAGCATGGAATTAATTTTTTATGACATCTGTTTTTTTGTGATAAAAGATATGGCAATATCAAAATGTTTCATAAAATTAAAATGAAATGAAAACATTTTCAAAAAAATCTTCATATGTAG